AAGTTATGTCATCAATAAAGAAGCAGAAAGAAGGAATGAATAGGGACAGGCTGGCAGAATGGAGACCAGGACGGGAACAGTCACATTGATCACCTCATGAAGATGGGTTCGGCCAAACTCAGCAAACTGCTCAGAGAAGCTCGTACAGAAAGTCGCTGGAAATGGGTGCACCACCGGAGCTGGGAAGAAGCTCGAGCTGAGAGAAGCGGAGCCGTGCACACAGCTGCCCCTCACTGGTAAGCAGCTGCGCATTATGGGGAATCATACGTCCTTAGGAACAAAGACTGTCCTGGAAACCTTACAGCTTATTCTCCTTATTAACAATTGGACAGATTATGAGCCTGAAACATGGAACCAAATTGAGGACAAGGTGTGGGACTCTGCAACTAAAAACGACAAGGTTGCAGTGGGATTGCTCGGCACCTGGCGAGCAGTCTCTGAGGCCTTAAAGAGCCCTGTGGGACCACAGTCGGAAGCATGTGGTTTGCCTGATAGTGAGGGAGCTGCGGGCTCCTTTACTGATCCGACTGCTACGCCATCGGCCCCCCTAACGCTACAGCCATCGAAGGCCTTTGCTGTTATGCTCCCTGGTGACCTGGACGTGCCTTTTGACCCAGGCCCTATTGGCCTTGAAAAGGAGATGGATACGTTTTTCTTTGATTCGGGAAGAACGGGATACATAAGGCCAGAAGACTGAGTTGCTTGACAACTTAAAGCAAGACGTATTGTTCAAAGGGAATGGAAAAATGGAGACTGTTATTTGTAGTCAAGAAAAGGAATGGAAAATGGAGACTGTTCATGGACATTGTAAGTCATGGAACTTAAAGGATTGTTTGTTACCTTTTCTGATTGTATATATGTATAGATGTATTCGGGTTTAGTATATAAAAGCAATGTTCTGTAATATTTAGAATGTTTGATGTTCATGTGTGCGTGTTGATGGAGCGTAGACTCCCCACACACCCAGCGCTGTTTACTTGCCTTTTATAACTATTCTTTTTATAAATATTACTAAATTCAGATTGAGTTGAGACTTCATTTATAACAGCCAGTTTACATCTTTTGATCTGCTTCAGGTGATTCTTTATTGGACATTACACCAAAATGTGACATTTTGTGGTGACAGGAACAGTTATTAGTCCAGTTTATTAGACTGTGCATGCTGTAGTCAGTGTGTTTAATCAGCTTTGTTCCCTATCAACTAGAATAAAAGCTGGCGAGTAAACCAAGGCATTTTGTTGGAAAGGGTAGTAGAGGCTTTACAGCATTTTGTTGCTGGAAGGTGAGAAAATGTCCAGCTGCCTTGAACTGGAGGAGAAAGCCCACCATTTACACATTTATCCACCCGTATCTGGGGAACAAGGAGTTAGCCGGCTGTTTCACCAGCTCACACAAAGGACTCAAAAGCATGGATGGAAAATGAAAGGATAATGAATGGTTTGCCCATCTACAGAGACCACATTCTCCTCATGTAGCCGCAGTCAGAAATGTTTGCTCCAGAAGGACAGCACAGAATTAAGCTGCTTTCAAGCTCACTGAACATGCTGCAACATAATGAAATGTGGTTTTCCCCTCTTACCTTAGCAGAATCAGTGCAGCACTGTTCAGAAATAGATTTACTTTCTTCTGTCACTACTTATGCTACTTAAGAGGAGGCTCTGGTATTCTTTAACGATATTTCCACTCACCTGAAATGAAGGCGGATGTTCTGTCTTCCACCAGCAGACTTCTTGGCTTCTGCATTCAGTATGCGTGGCCTTGTGGATGCCCAGGAGAGCAGGCTGTCATCCTTCATCCTGTGTGCGCGCTCATCGCATCTACCCTTGGAAAAGTTTGCCCGTCCTGCTGTGGGTATGTTTTCATAAACATGCACCTCTTGCAGGCAGGTTATCACTTAAAAATGATGGCTTACAGATTTGTTTTTCCTAGGCCAGCACTTGTGGAACCAGAGCCTCCAAAGCCTGAGCTCCGTGCCTTCTGCAGCAGCAAGGGGGGTGCGGATCCAATACTTTTCTCTGCTTGGTCCTACACTTCTGGAGGTGTGGATCCACTGCTGGAGCATCTCTGGAGCTCTCCTTTCAGTCATAAGGTAGCTGCTTAAAAGGTACATTACTGAGTTACACCCTCTAAGACATAGGAGCACTCTAACTTGGCTGCTGCTGGCCTCCAGGTACATCTCCTTGCTCTGGCCCCCTTAGGAAGCCACAAGCAGAAAAGCAGGTGCCTGCTGGGAGTCATTCTGGGGTGCTCTGTTCCACAAGGCCAAGCTGAATGTTACTTCTCAGAAGCATTTGCATTTCTGAAAGCACAGAAATCTATCCATGAGCTGGTATCTACTAAAACACCAGACGGTTCGGGGCAGTGTGCCCAGAAATGTTGGTATTTGTGCTGAAAACGTACGTATTCGTACATCCCACTACCTGCTTTTGTCTTTGTTTAGTTACAGCATGCAATTGTTTTGTCAGGCTGAAGCAAAAATACTGTGTTGCCTTTTCCATTTTATTTGGGGATCAAAGTGATATTTTGCTAGGCACGTATCTGCACGGAGACAAGCTCTTCCTGGGAGCTGCGCCTGTGTTCACGGTGGCAGCCTCCCTGTGGCTGCTTCTAGACTTACTTGGAAACTGCAGTGACAGACAACAAAGAAATAAGGATGATTTTTTTATTTTTTTTTGGTGCCAATATCTATATTTCTGGGTAGGCAGCTATAATTGCTCTCAGTCTTGCTTATAAAAGTCGTATTTGAAGCTCTTTGTGCAAGGCACGCTTACCATTTGCAATGCGTGTGAAGGAGGGACGCAGAATATCCCCAGTGAGCAGGGTAAGACCAAAAGCACCACATGGCAGTATTAATGCCACTGAAAGCTTACACAGGAGTCACGGCGTTATGGCTTGAGGTCAAAGGAATTTATTTCTTCCTGTTGTATGCTGGACTGCACATTGGCAGATAATGTGGATGCTTTTAGCAGTGTTTATCAAACTTTTTGTTTTCCCTCTGAGTTAATAGAGCCTCAGTTGCCCTAAGGTGGGTGAGAACAAACTGGCTGTGGTATAAACCTTCCTTGGGAAGAAGGAGCTGATTCCCCTAATTAAAGGTATTGTGTGGTTTCAGTGTCAAGATATTGAGTCAATAATTGCAGTTTCTTCTTACTGGCCTGGCCAGGAAAAAGTGCCTTGCTGCTGAGCAGCGCTGTTTTCCGTAATGCTTTGTACTTTGTTTGCTGGACTTAATTGTGACCTTGCGATCCAAGAAACACTTGTTGTCTGAACAGGGCTGGCTGGGAGCACGAACTGCTCTTCCACAGAAATGGCAGCATTTTGAAAGGCTTTGTTCCTAACTGGGACTTTTGCAAGAAAAAAATTACCTCAGAAACACTCGTGTGTTTCTTTCTCATTGTCCCTGCGTATGTTCCATATAAAATATGTAAAAGGAAAGAAAAATTATTGTAATTAGCAACATTGTAATTAAGCCTGCTTAATTCTGAAACAAGCGTGACCTACAAAAAACAAGGAAAAGCATTGAGATTTCCCTGAAAAATGTTGAAGTAATGGATTTGCCTCATGAAGGGATTGATTTTGAGAAAGGACATTTTTTGATGGAAAGTAGGTTCCTGAAATGTATTTCAATTAATGTCACTTGTATTACTCACTTCTCACTGCTGAACTGAACATCCTGGATTTTAACATACGGCAGCATGCTGTGTATTTAGTTCTTGCATTTAAAGTGACTGCAGCAGTGCTAAATGTGTTTGCTAGAGCAGACCCTAAGCAGAACCCAGATGTAGTTCATCTGATAAATGACTGTCCCAGAGGAGGTGACATTTCTCGTGCCACTTGTCTGTGGTATCTCCTGGCTGATCTTGCCAGCTCCCAAACAAGCTTGTGAGTGTAACTGAATTCTGGTCCTCGTGATCATAGATCTGCCCGTGATGGCTTTTTGTTGCTATCACTGCTTCACAGAATCTTAAAACCAGGACTGTTAGAGGCCCATTAGCTTCCCTCCCCTCAGATTTATCTCTTGTGGCTTGGGTGGCCAAACCCGCAGGAGGCAGAGTGGTGCCTTTCCTCTGTAGCTGGAGTAAAGCCCCAAACCTTTCCTCATCCTCCTGGAGGTTTGACAGTTTTAAGCTTCATTTGCAAGTGGAGCCTAGGTCAGCCTCTCCCTGCATCACACCCTTATGCACACAGGTTCACGGGGCTTTTCAGGATGTCAGTGTGGTTGTCAGCCTTTTTTTTTTTTAATGTCATCTTGTAAATAGAGTTGTTACGCAACTGGATGAGGGCTTGTTTATGTTTGGGCAGCTGCCCACGCACCTCTTCCCTTCAACCTCTTGTTACTGCCGTGTTGCCTGCTACAGATGCTCCAGTCCTGCAGAACTGAGACTGAGCACATGTGGCATGGCTGGATTGAGTTCCCAGTGCTTGGCTGCTTTCACAGCTTAATTAAACTTCAACAATTTAATTTTGGGGTTCTGTAATTTAATAGTGTTTGAATTAAGACTCTTCATCCTTGAAGATGACTTCTCCCCCTGCCCCCAACTTCTTACTGTTTATCAGCTGGCAGATGTGGTTCCTAGCAAACTAGGCTTTTTCCCCCTAGTGCTCACCTTATGACTTGAGATAAAGTGTGTGACAAATAGATATCAAGGCAGAAGCTTTGCAAGCTTTCTAACATCAGTTGTAAGAGAACAAATATAGAGTGAAACTCTGTTCTTGATCTCTGTAAGCCTTAGGTACTCCAGAGAAGACAATTTTGAGATTGCTCTAGATTTAGAATATTTTACTCAGGTAGAGAATCCAGTTTGTGATGGGAATTGTAAAGTATTTGCATGTTGTGGTGGTTTAACACCAATGGGCAGCTGAGCACCACCACACTGCTCTCACTCCCCTTCTTCAAAAGGACAGGGGAAGAAAAGACAATGGAAAATAAAAGCTCACAGGTTGAGATAAGGACAGGGAGCTCACTAACCAATTACATCACAGGCAAAACAGACTCAGCGTAAGGGTGATTAATATAATTTATTTCCTATTGATAATAGACTAGAGCAGTGCAAAGTAAAAACAAACTAAAACCACCTTCCTCCCCCCCATCCACCCTACTCTACGTCCTCCCCCTAAGTGGCACAGGGGAACAGGGAATGGGGGCTGTGCTCAGTCTCTGACTCTTCATCTCCAATGCTCCTTTATGGTCACTCATCTGACCCTGCTCCACGTGGGGTCCCTCCCACAGGATGCCGTCCTTTCTGAACTCTTATCATGGGGTAGCTCCTGGACTCCTTGCAGAGGCCACCCCTGCAGCCCCCACACTACCAAAACCTTGCCACGTAAACCCAGCGTAGGGCTTAGCCCTGGTCTCTGAAAGCCTTCACCTTCCTCAGGCCTCTGGTGAATATTGCCAGGCATCAATCTCCAAGTAGTCTCAATTCCTGCTAGCATCTGCCCTCTTTTCCTCGACTTGCTGTGAGGCAGGCTGTTATGCAGTGATCATGTTACTGGCCTGGCAAAAATTGCAAGCATAAGACTGTCAACAAGCATCTGGAAAGGCCAGCTCATGGCTAGCCCTGGGGACAGCAGAAGCCAACTGGCTGGTGAGCTACTTCCCAGAAAGTAGGAAAGCCTTCCTACTTTCTGCAGAAGCCCAATCTAAATTCCAAATAATAAATAAATAATTGTGTCAGAGCAAACACGTAAGATCTTTTTCTGATAACTAAGTTCAAATACAGATGGCTCCCGGGTAACATCTAATGTTTAGTCCTCTGAGAGGAAGGCTTTTGCAGTACTTACTTTCTAGAAGAACGCTGAGGCTTACTGGCAGTTTTGGTGACCAGTTCAAGAGTAGAAACTACTAAGAAAAACAAACACAAAAAAAGTGGTGTGAACAACATTCAGACTCATTTCTGCACACGGATATGTTTCTGGCTTGGAGCCACCTGGGGAAGAAAAGAAATTCCTATACATAGAATCCCAGAAGGTATAACAGGAGTTGCAGCAGACTGTTGGATGCTGAAGGATGTGAAAAATGAGATTTGTGATTAGGAGTTCCAGCTAATTTAAGCAGAGTCTGCTCACAGGTAGTAGACTCCACAAAGTTCTCCACAAAGAATAAATGGGTGATTCTCTGCTACCTGTGACAGTGAGTATAAACATAGGCATTTACTGAAAGAGGGAAGGACACTTGAGCACTCATGTAGAGGAATATAGCAAAAATGTTTGGTCAATCTGCCTATAGCAATCGCCACTGCTCTATAACAGGTATTTGGCATTATCTGCAGCTCCCTCTGTAATTGCTGCTCAGCAGAACAAACACAAGTGTACGTAACAATGACATTTTATGGTTCTGAGGTAGTAATATCTTAACTACTCCTAAATCATGAGCTTTTTGAACACGTTATATATTACAAATAAAAGGGACAGTTGAGTACAAACAAACAGATATACCACCGAAGACTGCTTTAAGAAAAGTTATATGGAAGCTACATGGAAGTGGAGCTGAAAACCTCTGAAGCTTTCAGTAGGAAACACTTGCCATGCCCTCAAAAGCACAAGCATATTTACCCTTAACAACTACTAATGGTTTTAACTGAAGTAAGTAATCAGTCACACAGGTAACAACAACAAGGTAAAATTCTCCTTTAGCTCAGTGTATTGAACAGATAGAGGTGGTGCAGTGGAACTATCCTCTCATTTTTCCCCATCTTCAGTGCATTTTCAATGTTAATTTTCGTATTCATCCTATTTCAAATAGTTGCTTCATCAACACTTTTTTATTTGTACATGATTTTTGTGTTTATCGCTTACAAGCTATCTGACAAGAAAACTTTAATTTAGGAGTACAGAATGGGTTTATCTCTGGTTGTAATCTGAAGGAAATTTTACCAATAAGAGTTTCTGTTTTTCTTATGGAGCAAAATGTAAACAAAACCAACTACAAGCTAGGAAGATGGACTTAGATTTATCTGGATGCTGTCCTTCCCATGAACCCACATCTTTGCTCTCCAGCTGCAGAATGTGCTACTTCCTCCATTTTATTGTACTTCTGCACTGAAGATGAAGAGAATATTAGTGCTTTGCAAGAGACTGAGACTGTTAAGCAAAAGAGCTAAAGCCTTTGCATGCTGAAATACAGGAAATCTAAAAGATACTGGAAGACATTGGTCTTAATTCACTGGAATTAAGATTTAATTTTAGACTTAAACATATTACATGTATCCTTCCCCATATCATTACATTTATCCTGGGGGTATGAAACATTTTGTTTTGGAAATTTACAAGCAGCAATTTAAAATTAGGGATGAATTAAAGAATAAAGAAGTCTCACAGTGGGAAACACATGTCTTAAAGCAACAGTTTTAGTCAACTGAACCATTAGCTTTCTTAGCTTTCTTCCTTTTTCTTGTGCTAGCAGGTACTGATTTGCTGCAAAATTAGTCTGTAAGTAAACACCTTCAACTACTGGTCATTTTAAGAGGAGAAGTTTTCTTGTCAGACAGCTTGTAAGCCATAAACATAACAATCATTTAAAAATAGAAAAGTGTTGATGCTTACCTTGTGCAGAAGAGAAAATTTCTTCACTTTTGAATTGCATTTTCAGGCCTCTGTGAGCTATGGAAAGTTATGAATATTTGGAGATGTCAACTCTTTGTGAGGTACACAAAGTACACAGAGAAATCATCAACCTGAAATTCATTGCCTGAATGTACAGTAATAACTTTTGGGATAATTGCCACATTGTACTTTAAATCACTGCCAGACATTTCTGACTCTTATTTTAACAAGATTTGCCTGGAAATAAACCAAAAATGAGTAACACTGTAATAGGTTATGCAGTGTTTGAGTTCAAACTCTAAGTGCCCACTCATTTACATTCTACCTTATGATTTTGAACGTGGTCCTTTTCATTGGAGTCATAAACCAATGACTAATTCTCACCATCAACACGATGGCCACTGCAAACTAGCAATAAGAAGAAAGGAAAAATGCATTGTGCAATGTGCTCACTCATTCTACACATGGAGTTTTTAATATGCAGCACCAAATGTTCTCTGGTATGTCTTACACAAGTCTTAGGCATGGGAGGCTTCATAACAGTATGCCTCCAGTCTTTTCTAGAAACAGAACAATTTATGCTAAGGCTTACGCATAAATAAATGCAGAGCGTTTTAATACTTTAAAAGCTGTTACAATGGGTAATGACCTCGTAAGACAGCATATAAAGTAGAATACATATATTTAATCAAATAAAAATAGCAACTATATTTAGCTTTTCAATTTAGTGCCTTAATGAAGGAGAACACTTAATGATGAGTCACAAATCCCATGAATGTTACTGACCACAGGTACAGTAAATAGGATGGTCTCAGTGAGTTAATAGGAAGCCTCATGTTTTGCTCATAATTTGAAACCCTCATAATTAAAGATGAAAGGAATGGAGGAACAATCAGTTAGTATCTTAACCCTTCACCTGTATGCAAATTGACTTTTTAACCATACATTTCCTAGTACTCAGACTGGAATGGCTTTTAAGGTCTACATAGAAAGGCTTTTCATTCCTTGGAGAGAGTACAATCTAACTTAAAAAATGATAAATATACAAGAACATGCAGAGTACTTCTTTTAATAACATACAATTTTTAGTGCAGATCTTCAGCCAACTGATCTGACCCAGGCTCTACAGGAGAAACAGCACTGCCTGTCAGGTTACCTGCCCATTTCATTATTGTAAGCTCCTCAGCAATTTGGGCTGCAAGCAGTCAGTTCCATGTTTGTAGCTGTTAGACATACTGTAGTTTATTTATGCAAAAGATATACTTGAGCACTGGACTAGATCTCAGAAATCTGGATTTTGTTCTTGCCTCTGCAGATCACCTAAATTGATAATTTGCAAAGATACCTCTCTATTCCTCAGTTTCTTCATCTATAAAGCGGGGATAATGATGTTCACTTGTTTTTAAAAACCGTTTTAAGATATATGTGATTAATTATTAAGCAGCATGGATTCTCCCCCATGAATAGCACACAGCTGCTAATAAACTGACTCATCCACTTTCATATTATCATCTTTATTTAAACATTCACTATTCTTTCTCCAACACAGCAAAACATTCATTTTGTCAAACAGCAATTGTAAAGAAGCTTTTATCCAGCGGAAGAGTAATTAGAATAGTAGAGAAATTCCATCAGCTTTGAGCTCGAGGGACTATCTGTTATTTTAAGTTCAAGTAATTGAAGTAGCAAGCAGAGTTTCCAATTCAAGCCTGCCCTCCACTGGTGTTAATGAAACACTGCTAATAAATTTTAGATCAATGTTGTCTTAAAGCAACAAAGAAGAGGAACTAAATTGAGAGAGGCTGATACAATGTATTAATTGAGACCTTTAGTCAGCCTTCTCTTTTCTTTTTCATAGTAGCTAAATAATTTGTAAATATCTTTTTAAAGTCCCATCTTGGCTCACTGGCTGATTCCCGTCCTTCACATTTTCCACCAACATATCATCCATACCAGAGTTGTCAGAAATAATATTCACATGGGAAGTAACATTCTGCACATGGTTTTAAAGGGACTGTTAGAAGAACTACAGAAAAATATTTTGCTATGGTACAGTTAACAATTCTAATATACTGAGCTTTATGTATCAGTCAAGTACTAGCATCCTAAGAGACCAGGATCACTCTAGTCTAGTACCCTGTCACTAGAAGCAGTCCTTCCTCCCAATGTGTGAAAAGAAAGAAAAACTTCTAGTACTGTGTTTATTTCAGAGAGAACTTTCTGACAAATCTCACAGGCAATTAAGTCATTGCTTAACTCAGGAAGACCATATTTAAAGCACAAAGGTAATCGGAAAAAAAACAAACAAACAAACAAAAATTATCTCAGTTATACTTACAGCGATTCATCTAGTATGACTTCAAGGTGATGTTTGTGTCTGGAATACAAAACCTGTACCGCTGTGTGTTGGAAGATGAGGCGCCTCTGGTTCATTTATCTTGTCATCTTCACACCTCATTACACTCAACAGCATTTAATCTCTTGTGGTTGCTACCTAAACCCAAAATGGAGCAGTAAAATGCAGTTTCTTCAGATGTGCACTTAATGTACACTTGAAAAAAAAGAATGAAAGTACTATAGAAATGTAATTTTATTTGGGCCTTTCAAATGTGTGAAAGTCAGGGTCAGATTGTGTCAGGTATGTCTAACAGACTTTATAATGCAGAACATAAGGAACTCTCAAGAGTTCCTTGAATGTCCTCTGCATATGATAAAATTCTTACTGAAATGGTTGTCATTCAAAACAAAAACTTTAGGAGTTCATATAACATTTTATAGGAAATAGCGAAGGGCAACAGTGAAAGACAAACTTAGAGACATGTGACTTAGGCTGTCAATGCAGACAGAAGATGCTGGACAATAGTTTAAAATCAGGAAAATCTAAAAACATCTGTCTGGGTTAAATATGGAATATGATCATGCTAAAATAGACAAAGCTTAAAAAAAAGTATTAAAGTCAAAAGGGACAGCATTTTAAGAGATTAAGTTTTAATGGTGAAAACTTCATTAAGCATGAGGTGCTCTTCACTTAATCCTAACAGCACTAAATATGACCTGAAAAGGAAGAAAAGAACTTTCTAGGATCACCTTTGGGCGTGTATGAAAGACCTTAATTACTTCTTTAATGATTTTAATCCTCCCTGTGCTGAAGATCTCAATTGTCAGTGAAATCTGAACTACCGAAACACAAAAAATACAGTCAGACATAAATGCTGACACTTATTATTGGTTCAAATTCAAATTCTGGAACTTAACGTTCCTTCTGGAACATCACCATTCCGGAAGGAAGCTCATGCAGTGTATCCCACTGAAGCTTGGCAAGAAGGGGTGTGAACTGCTCTTCACATCACAGTTAGGCCATGCTGAATTTGAAATGTGCCAAAAAATTTTTCTCTAAGTTTCTGAAGTGAATACACCCAGAGTGAACAATCAAGATAGATAAACTGAATGCAGATATTGATTTACTAATCTGTTCAACTTTTAGATATAGCGGGAGAGATTTAGTATGTACTTGACACATTTCCTTTGCTGACTGGGTAATCTTGTTCAAATTCTAGAAATACACAGATTTTTACCATACCTATTATGCTCTGAACTCTTCTGCAATTGCATCCTCTAATTTGCATTACATGAGTTGTTAGAAACTATTATAATGACAACGCTAACACCTAGAAAATCTTTGAACTAAGAATTAAAGCTATGCTTATAAAATTCAAGTTCATTTATTTGTTTAAATTTTCATTTTAACAAACATTGTTCTTGTTTAGTATCAAAGGAAAAAGGATACATATGGGTATAAACAGTAACTGAAAATATTGACTTTTTAACAATGACTCAAATTAAAAAACAAAAACTCACATTCTATCAGAAAATCCACACAGAACTCTTCCAAATCCATCTGGAATGTTTCAACTCCAAGGTGCTTCTTTTTGCTTTACTATTTGTCTTCTCTTTGCTTATAAAAAGGAGATAATTAGTTGTTGTTGTATACATTGCTTTTGTAGAATTAAAACGAATGAATTCAAAAGCGCCATTTTAAATCAGTGAAGCTAATGCTATGCATGCTATGCATTGATTGGTTATGATTTTCAAATATTTCATTGTCAGAAAAAGTTATTTCAGCAGCATATATGTTCTTTTGTAGATGGATGTTAAGTAAATACAATTAGAACCATTCTGAAGAAAGGAAGTTATACATGAATTTTAATTAAAAGTCTATTTTTCTAATGCTCCAATTCCATGTTCTGTACGAAAGAGAAATATTTCATTTTCATATGTAATGCTGCCAACTGATAGCAAAGACTTACATTCTCAGTTGTTTTAAGGTTGCCTAACCTTAATACAATGTACTCAGATACTAAGACCAGAACTGATATAAAAACAAGTATACTGAGAGCAAAGACTGTTTTGCAAATCCAAATATAATCACTGTTTTCCTCATCATGTCTTTCAGTAAAAATCTGCCTAAAACAAGCATCTTTTAAATCCTGTAAAACCTTCGTGAGCATGTGCTGTTACAATAACATATTCTTCAGCATCAAAAATCTAGTTTTAAATTGTGGACAAGTGAAAAGTATTCATTCCAGTATCTTTAGAAGAAAATTGTTCTAAAATTATTGAAACCTTTACTGCCCAGATGCTTAAAAAAAAAAGAAAAAAGCTTAACTAAAAAACCAAACAAACAAAACCAAAAACCAAAACAAACAAACAACAACAACAACAACAAAACAAACAAAAAAAAAACAAACAAGAATGAGTAAACATAGATATTAGTTTTGGCCTCAGAAAATCCTTTAATTCATCAGACTTCTGCATATTGCTGCAGCTATGCAAGCAGTCAGATGATTGTTTTCATCTCTGGCCAAGTACTACAATCATAAAAACATCCACATAACTCTTATATTTTTAGGGTAACTACTTACAGTAGAAAGTAGCAGTATCTTTATTGTAACCACTGATTGTCATTATTAAATGAAGATGGGGAGAATGGGAAGGTCAGGTTCAAATGAAAGTCGTGTGCAGCACGTAATATTTAATTTTTAAGCACAACAGTACTTTTTCTCAAAGAACTCGGAAAGCATTTGATGAGGTTTCGTTGAATGCTCTCTCACCTCAGACTGCCGTTTGTCCTTCACTGGCCTCAGGAGCTGTAATGAAAAATAACGTAATTATTGCCTTGCACCCATCTCCATCTTTTTTTTTTAACAAATCAATAGTACGTTAATTATATTAAATATATAAAAAAAAATACACTTTGCCTTTTGTTACTACCACTGTAGACTCACCTAGTAAAGTGATCACACTTTACTCATTTTCTGGAAACCAATCTGACAATAATTTTTTTTAGAAATATCCAATATTATATAGAGGCTAGAGTACAGCCAATGTATATGTATTTCACACAGAAATTCATATGAAAGAGACAGTAATCTGGACAGAAAAAATTGATGTGTCACTGCTCTGTAATTCAACGTTTTGAAAACACGCTAACTGCAAAAGCCCAAATGTATTAAACCCCAAGTGATGTTGCTCTTACAACAATCAAGAGAAAAAGAGACGTTTTAGAGTTCTGACATTTCCCAAATGGCATAATCACACAGCCTTAGTATTTTTATTTTTTTATTTTGACTGTAGTGCTTTCCATTTCTATTTGTTTCTGTGAAATGTGGTTTCCACAAACTGACAAGCAGCATTTCCTAGAGCAGTGGTACTGCAGAGTAGCTGGGATTTATTAAACTAACTGAATAGGAATACTAAAATGGAATGGAAGAAAAAGATGATCATTACTAGGACACTATAGAAAGTTTAATCATAATAATTAAGTAAAATATAAAGCCTAGGAATTATATGCTACCCTTTTTCACTGACATCATAAAGATTCACCCCAGATTGGAAATCTGTTAAATATGTCCTGTATTGTTTGTTTATAACGATTTACAGTATGGAATATCTACCATAGTGTCTTCAAAATATAAGTTCCTCCTAAACAGAGCCAAACTTTAACTTTGTTTTCCAGTTTTCCAGCAGATTAATTTAATCCAGTTTCTTCACAGTAAATGGAAGAGGAAATCTCAGAAGTAAAAGTGGTAATTGCATAATGGAGGTACACAGGGATTTCCATTGTAGAGTTTACAGTAACTTGTCTCAAGGCCTTAACAGGTTACTTCATTTTGGTTCATTCTCCAGCCTTCTGGATTGCACACACTGTTGCATGGATTTGTGCTGTGTTGAGATAAAACTTCAGAGGTCTGGAATTCTTTAGCCTGAAATGTACCCCTTGTACCAGGCAACAAAAATGGCTAAAGCCACCCAAGTGCCATTATTTCCCTGAACCAGAGACTGAAGTTTAAATGATTCAGACTTGTCCGCAAGAATTTCAGTTCTCTCCCTCACCCATTAAAAATGGAAGCATGAGGCCAGTTTACAGTGGTATAGAACTTCTTTACCGAAAGGGTTGTTAGGCATTGGAACAGGCTGCCCAGGGAAGTGGTGGAGTCACCATCCCTGGAGGTCTTTAAAAGACGTTTAGATGTAGAGCTTAGGGATATGGTTTAGTGGAGGACTTGTTAGTGTTAGGTCAGAGGATCTTGAGGTCTCTTCCAACCTAGACAATTCTGTGATTCTGTGATTTCTTTGCTATGAAAACATAGCACGTACAGAATTACTACTAATCAAATTAAAACAAACTAACAAACCCCATTACAGATTCACATTCTTGTGCCAGTTAAAACCCCTGCAACTTTATTTCATATTTTACAGTTGTTGCTGGTCCCATGAACTACATGACAAAAGAAATTCAAAGGGTTTTTCTGTAATGAAAAGCTTTCAATACAGTATTACTACTTTTGTCACCCAACACTTATGGCTGTTGTTTCTCTGATTTCCTGGGCACACCATTTCAAGTGCTTTTGTCCTGATTATCAGACAAAAGAAAATAAATAATTCAAGTAAAACCAATACCCTTCACAGAAGTGTTACTACAACCCCAATAACAACCCAAACTCCCTCAGCCTGTCCTCACAGGGGAGGTGCTCCAGCCCCTCTTGACCATCTTGAGGACGTTATGTTAAAAGTATTTGTTGGATGTACTGGACATCTTAAAAGTAACTCGCTGACAGGGCTGCACGTACAATTACTTAATGAATCCCTTCTGTTCATTCTCTTGGAAGCACAAAAATCTATCATTACGTGCTTCTGAGCAGGCATAGGTGAATGGAAATGACAGCAAAGGGAGAAATTATGTGTTATTCTGTGTGAATAAGTTAAGATGCTGAGTTCTGTGTGCAGTTTTGCAAAACTGTGTTCAGTTTTAGGCACTACAATATAAGAAGGACATAAAACTATTAGAGAGCTTCCAAAGGAGGGCTATAAAGATGGTGAGGGGTCTAAAGGGTGAGACGCATGAGCAGCAACTGAGGTCACTGAGTTTGTTCAGCCCAGAGAAAAGGAGGCTGAGGGGAGGCCTCATGGCAGCCTGCAGCCCCAGGGATAAGCTATTTGGCTAATAAAGAAGCCACTCATGAACTGAGCTTTACCTACCACACATCATTAGATATATCAGCCACAGAATTACTAGAATTACTAGATTACAGATTTTGACTAGAATTACTGGTGTCACCCATCACATGTTTAATGCATATGAAAACATAGCACATATGCACTGGTTTTCATGAGGACAGGCTGTTTGTGCGTTCTACAACTTGACAGACGGTATGTTTCTCACTACATCACCACCATAATCCTGTATATCCCACATTTTGACTATTAGTAGACATTCAGAAAAGCAAACTATGGGCCACCAGGATTACTGATGCAACTTGCTACCTGTCCGTACCTGGGAAACAAGGAGCGAGATACAAATTCGTATCTTCATTGTCTCTGAAGGGCGGAATGTGCATCCATGCACTGGAAGGAGAAATGTGGAAAAAGCTATTTGTGTAAATGTTATAGCTCTGGAGTTATTATTATTTATTTATTTATTTTGCATCTAAAAGCACTGTCCTTTAGTTGTTCCTAAGGTGACAAGTGGGCTACAGAACTAGAAATTATTGCCTAGGTAAACTACTACTGTAAACCACGATTATTAACAAAACTGAATAGACTTCTGGTCTACCACAAGCAGCAACTTGGTTAATTTCTCCCCCCCACAGCTTCTATATGCAATTAAATCCCCTCCAAACTACGGCAGGAGTTTGACACAGCTGGCAGACGATACAGACTGCCAGTGTCAATACCACTGCCACGTCAGCGATACTAGGAGCACGCAGGCCTGGATGTGGCGTTACAGCAAAACTTAGCGGACTGCTCGAGCAGGAATGAAAGCAGCACGGCCGTGACCGAGCTTGCAGGCACCAACACCCTGCAGTGAGATGTCCCACAGGCAGTGGGGTCGAGCTGAGAGCACTTTGTGGGGGGCAGTGCGACGAGGTCTTGCAAAGACCAGACCCGCTCAAAAAGTGCCTCACTGCTTACCCAGGCTCTGAGTGCGCGAGGACAACAAGCCATGAGCTCCGTACTGGCGTTTTTAAAGAATTAGGTCTAGAAGCACACCACTTCTCCCCGATCACCCTCGCCGACCTTGCAGCCCCCAGGTGCCAGGGACCACGCAGTGTCCCCGCAGCGGGATGGGGCGGGCAGCCCCCTTCACGTCTCCCTGACCAGACGCCACCTCCCAGCCTCCACGGAGCACAAACCTGAGCGCTGCGGGAATAAAATAAATAGATAAATAAATAAAATAGCCACCTACAGCTCTCCTCACCCCCTCGCCGGCCAGAGGGCCCCTACTGCAGGCCGGGGCGGGCCGAGCCTCCCCCTTCCCGGCCTCCCCGGCGGCGCCGAGTGACGATCGCGACCCGGCTCCTCCTCCTCCTCCTCCTCCTCCTCCTCCTCCTCCCTCTCCCCCGCCGCCGGCATGCCGAAGCTGAGCAAGGAGGCCAAGCAGCGGCTGCAGCAGCTCTTCAAGGGCGGCCAGTTCGCCATCCGCTGGGGCTTCATCCCCGTCGTGCTCTACCTAGGTCAGTGGCGGCGGGGGCGCGGACCTCCGCCGCCCGGCGACCGAGCGGGGGCCTCCCTTGGGCGGCCCCCGCCTGCTTGGGGGGCTCGGGGGGGGACGGGCAGGGGGCTGGGGACCCCCCTGTTTGAGGCTGGGTGTGCGGGAGGCTGCAGCCTCCCCAAGCCTCTCGGCTCAGCCCCCGTGCGGCTTTTGGGGTGTGTGGGTGCGGGGCCCCGCGGTGGTGCCGCCGGTGGGGGTGGCTGAAGGGCACGGGCTGCTTAAAAGCGTGTGTGTGCGGTGGGGCCGGGGCTCCTGCTCGCTGCTCTCTCTAAAAGGTCCCAGGGGAAGCCACCAGGCACGGCTGGGGAGGAGGCTTCGTGCCCTAAACTGTGTGGGGCCTTCTGGGCGAGGCGGCCGAGGCAGGCAGACATCTTCACCTTGAGCGCCAACACGCTTACAGCCGGGCTGTGCGTGTTTGCAGGCAGAGCTGAGTGGCTTTTAATCCAGGGGAATTAATATAACACGTAAAAATATATAAAATCTAAACCCAATTTAAAGGGCCGAGGCACTTAATAGATAATCAGTTACACACATGCTCGAACAACCAGTAATAAAAGGGGTCGCTTCCAACACAACGAGTAAAACCATTTGGCAGAGCCAGGTTAAAGTTTAATTACGTTTTCGTTCTTAGTTTACCGATTATTTCCAAATTGGTTATTTGGGGGTGGGATTGCAGCAGTGCTTTGCGACCTACTTCTGTTCCTGCTGAGGTTTGCAGTTGGTTTCGCTTTTACGACAGTATCTGAGAGAATCACTCTTAGCTCTGAGGAAAGCATATAACTTAAGCACCTTAAATAAAGCCATCTGACTGTGTTTGCAGCTGTACCGATACCACAGAATGGAAGCTATGCAAGGGACCGTAAAGACCACCTAGTGCCAACCCCCGCCATGGGCAGGGCTGTCAGGGTGCTTGCTATATTTCTGTTACGTAACCCTAAGAAACAAAACTGTAGTTGTTTAATTTCTTACCTGCAAGCGATAAGTATGCTGTTCCACATCTATATTGTCTTCTTACAAGTTTGCCTGATGTAATTAATAAAAGGACATGAAGTGTAAGCAGGTGCCACCCTTGTCCCCCACAGACATTTGGGGGTGGCAGCCACTCAGATTCTGTAGAGCTGGGGGAACCTCTTTTGTACAGCAATTACACGGGCAAGGGGCTACACTGTGCTTGGTGTCACTGCTTCAAGGCAAACTTTGGTATTGACCCATGTATATGACACGCAGGCTAAACTAAACACAGGCAATGAAGTTTTCAGCAATTTGTTTTAATTTTCTGTGGAAGACCTAGGTAAGGATAGGGAGTTCAGAATAAGTACAAGGGAGTCTGAGATGTGCGATTCCAGGTCATTGGTCAGGTTGTACATGTATTTTGTTGTTGTTTGTTTGTTTTTAATGTTTGTTTTGAAGTGGCTGCCCCTCTTAGGTGAATTAGACCAGTAGTTTTGTTGAATTGGCTTGCTTATTTAAAAGTACTAGGGGAAAAAAACACAAACAAACCACAAAACAAACAAAAAGAAAAAAACAGAAACATTAGCTAAATCTGTTTCACACACATAGTTCGACTGCTAATACGATTTCATGAATTTTAAATCACTTCTGCTGGAAAGTATGGCAGTGAAAGAAAATAGGTCAGAATGTTTAACAGCCTCAGATCAGACAAGGTTATCTTTGAAGGGCTGACCCAGTGTCCATGAAGTTAATGTGAGTTTTTCCATTAACCTTCGTGGCCTGTGTTTCAGGAAAGTTGTCACTGATTAGTTATAGTCTGTAAATATGTTTTTTCCATATAACATCAATTTCTATACAGTAAACATAGTAAGCATGTTGTTGAACAGTGCATGTCTTTTATGATTCTGTTTCAGGACTTAATTTACAGTCCAGGAGTTAAAGCTATTTAGTAAACTGTACCTTGAATTGCTTCTCTAGTGTACACTTGCTTTAGTGAATCAGTATTTGAGTCATTAGCTGGGGACGAACTCTCTGTAATTAACCACCCCCGTCCCCCAAAATGGTTTTAAGTTTAATTGGTTTAAGATTTAGAATTCTCTAATCTTCAATTCAATGAGCTATTATTGAAATATTGCTGTAAGTTCAGGTGCCGTCACAGGACATCTCCTCAAGCCCTTATACCAGTTACAGGTGTCACTGTTGATGCTGTCTGACCAGGTTGCTTTCATAATAACACCTAAAATCTGCATGTGGGGGTTGTTACGGTTATGTTCCCACCCAGCCACTTGCTCACTCTCCCCAGGTGGGGTGGGGGAGAGAATCAGAAAGGGAAAAGTGCAAGAACTTGTGCGTTAAGACAAAAGCAAACCAAAGAATCTATTTGCTGCTTCCCTCCAGCAGGCAGGCATCCAGGCATCCTCAGGAAAGCATGGCCCATCACACGTAATGGTTTCTTGGGAAGACAAACGCCATCACTCCGAACATCCCCTCCTTCCTGTTCATTTCCCCCAGCTGTTATTGCTGAGCCATATGGTGTGGGATGTCCCTCTGGCCAGCCTGGGCCAGCTGTCCTGGCTGTGTCCCATCCCAACTCCTGCTGCACCCCCAGCCTGCTCGCTGGCAAGGCAGTGTGAGAAGTTAAACAGTCCTTGGCTCTGCGTGAGCACTGCTCTGCAGCAACTAAAACGTTGGTGTTATCGCTGCTGAGTTTCATCAAAAATCCAAAGCACAGCATCGTACAAGCCATTATGTAAAAAACCAAAACACCTCCATCCCAGTCAAAGCCGTGACAGGGTACGTGTATGCATGCACGTGTGCCTTGATGTTTGGGGTAAATCATTTCCACCATCTCACATAGCCAGCTGACCCTGAATTTTAAGTCAGAGAGATACAGGTAATAATAATAAAGAAAATACACCCAAGTCTATTTATTTTGACTATTTTGTAACCCTTTGGTTTCTGTTGAGGTGAGTCTATGTCTTCATGAGTCACAGCTTCCTGTTCTTTTTATTGCAATTTAATGGGCTGGAATGATTTGATGCTGTTTCAGCTGTGTAAAAATCTGCACATACATATGAATGTTTATCTAATGTATGTTTCACTTCAGGTTTTAAGAGGGGTGCAGATCCTGGAATGCCCGAGCCGACAATCTGGAGGTATGTATCAGGTCCAAATGTACATTAAAAAAACACTGTAGATGATCAGGGTTTTAACTGTCATCTCTGTTCATGCTGGACAGCAAGAGCTGTGAAAGATGCTTTAATCCATAGTTTTTAATTGTTTTGGGTGATAACAGAGCTGGTCACAGTTCATATTTGCCTAGAAATCTAAACCAGAACAGACAGCAAACCAAATTCTTAGGAGGGCCTTAGTATTTTGCTCTTAATCTTATGCAGTTTTTAATATATGGAACCTCCTGTACCTTTTGAGTGGAAGCTGCCCTTCTAATCTGTTCTAAGGGTAGTTTGTGCAAGTTTCTTTCTGCACCTAGGAATAACTACTTAGCTTTCTAACATGAGTTTAAAATAAAACCCAGTCTCCTTCCCTCTTTGCAAGTAGGGTGGTAAACTGTGTAAAAGCTGCATTAAATAAAGGGATATATCCTTTAATATTAATCACTGTAATAAATTGAAGTACATATGCTCTCGCTGCCTGTTTGTTGTGGGGCTATTTGTTATTGCTGCAACATCCTGGCATTAATAACACTTGAATTCTTGTGATATTTGAATTTTATTGGAGAGTTTCCATGGCTCAAACTACTAAAATTAAGGTTATGAAGGAAGTGTTACTCTTACTGTTCTTGAAATAGCTTTGTTTGCTGTACAGAACCAGAGATGCTGCTAACAAATAATTGATTGGTGTGTATTGTTTGCAAGGTCATATATTAACAATAGAAATTCCATTTTCAGGGATGTTACAGTTTCAGTAAAATATCCTATTGTCTTAAGAACTAAGTTGCTGAAGTATTTTTTTTTTTTTTCTGGCAGTATTTCTGTTTAGTTTCACTAGTATCTTGAGACTTTTTTTTTCTTTGGTTTATTGCATATGTCTGCACAACATAAAGGTAGTATAACAGGATATACAGATACCAGAAGCATGTGTTTGGTTTTACTCCAAAGCTTACAGATGCTCATTTTTCTGGGCACATGTTCATGCTCCGTAGGCTTAAATTTTATTTTAAAGGTAGCTTTATTTCACTGTTCTTTATGGGTAGTGTTTATTCTGTACTTTTATAGGGCTGTTTCTTCTGACTTGTGCTTTTGAAAAATCCATTTAAAAACAAACACATACTGTGAATCTGACCTTCATTTCCCCCTTTCAGTCTGCTTTGGGGATGAAAGATGTGGCTGTCCTGCTCTAGAACCAGACGATGGACAGAGAAAGGGTCTGAAGATGTGTATGTTCCAGAGGATGAGGCGGACACTTACACCAGCTGGCTCAGTCAGCTTGCTAAAGACATAGGTTGTACATACAACAAAATGGAGTTTATATGGACCTAACTTATTTGCATCACAGTGTAATTAAATAAATACATTTGAATGCATATGTGTTGTTTTCAAGTCTTTACATTACATATAATATAGTATTTTTTTTATTATAGGAACGATAACCAGATTTTTTTTCTAAATTTGGTGACATTCAACCCCCACTAATCATCGTAACAAGGTTAAATTTCGGGTAACTATTCCTTTTCATGATAACCAGAAAACTGAGCTGATGTTTTAAACGTTTTGGTATTCTTCAAAGATTTCTGCATGAATGTTGGTAAGCCTCTGCAGCTGGTTGCTCTGTGCAGGCCTGGTTTTTGTTTTCTTTTTCTTTTGGATTTGTTCAGCTCCGGATATCTTAAGGATTGAGAGATGTATATGTTTTTCTGACTTTACCTTTAAATACTATTTAAATTTTCCGTAATTTAGGGGTGGGGTTGGGAGTACGTGACAAAATTGCTGTGTATGTGTGTATGCTTGTGTACAGTAGAAGTTATTGACGTACAGCTGAAGGAAGAAGACTTATATTACGGTGTGTTTTTCTTTTGTTCCAAAGTCTTGTTCTTTGGAATACGGTGGTTTTATCTTCACTTGGCATTCTCCATTTCTGTAATGAAACCAGAGCACAGCAATGGCAGCTGCTTGTTTTCTGTTAAAATAAAAGCTGAACTGGTTAGGTTACTCTACTCTCCCATCTAGAAGTATACAAGCTAGTTTGTATTCGTGCAGTGATACTTTACAGAACAAACAAAAAGTTTCTTTGCAACATTGCAACAAAGGCATTCCAGATTGATTTATTTTTTTTTAACCCTGTAGATTTTCAGCCAGTTTTTACATTTAATTTAACTAAGGAATAGGTGGTTTCTCATTCTCTCCTCTGCTATCAGAATTCAGTAGTGAAATGTTACTGTGCAAAGTATATTCAGTGTATCAAAGGTAGCAGTGCAAAGTAACTCAGATTTCTCAAAGTCAACCTATGTTTCGCAATACCCAAAATGCAGCTGTGGACCAAAACACCTGCAAAAGTATATTTCATATACTCTGTTGTGTGTCAGATTTGGGGATGTGGTTTGTGGGTCTTAACCACCGCATGGTCGCTCTGGCAGCTTTCCAGGAACTATAGTATTTGGCAAGAAGTTCCAAATGGGGAAGTGTTCTTGTCTCTTTTGTTAAAAGTGTATAAATAAGCATGGATATGTCAAGCACAGGCCGGATTCTGTGACCTCATTATCGTCAAAATTTCCCTTGTAAGTAACTAGTTCAGTTTTTTTTTTAGACTTGGAATTATTTGATAAGTATTGCTTAGGCAGTGCTTATTCTGAGAATTTTGCTTTAAGCACATTGGATAACAAATTTTTAGTGAATCATTGCTATAGATAAATGACTGCAATTGTTTTTCTTTTAAAATAAATCAAATGTGGTTCACAAAAGTCATTAACATGCAACCTGTGGCCTTTGAAGTTCAGGAATAAATTGTCCTTCCTAATATGTTCAAGTCAAGTTAAATTGAATGCTGATGTATATTACAAATTTGTTCGATTAATGCAGTCACTTTTTATTTAGAGAGAGAAACACTAATTGAAACTCCTTACAAACTCATTTTTATCTTGAAAAGAGTTGAATAGCCATTAACCAGAAGTCTTGGTAACTAATAAAGTAACAAAAACAGGATCAGAGAAGTCTTTTTCTCTTAAGACTTAAAAATGAAGGGAGTCTTTGTTAGCAATACCTTGAATTTATTTGATAGTTGCTGTCATTTTCACAAAATTCAGACATGTTTGTAGGAACAGATCCTTGTTCTTTGAAGTTGTATTTTGAACAGATTACTATAAAGCATCTTAATTCTCTTAAAATAACTTCAGCAAATACACCAGTTTTGTCAAGAGTGTTTGTTTGTTGCTAGGAGGAAGAGGGCAGGCCTCTGGGTTAACGTGGAAGGACTCAAATACATTTCCTGTTTGTCAGACTCCCCAAAAGCGTTTGTTTTACCATGGGATGGGAGACACTTAGAAACAAACAGGGGCTTTCCCACTCAGCAGACTTCTGTCACGTGGATCAGTGGCTTCTGGAGCCAAGTATGGCTTCTTTTCAGAAATGGGGTTTGTGATGCAGTCCTTTGAGACCAGGACATGAACTCTGATGTTTGAATGAAGTCAGAACGTGTAGTTTACTGAAAATCAGACCGTGACTTCTACAGCTTAACTCAAGTTTATGCTTTGGCCATGCTCTGAGAGGTGTGAAATAAAATCATTCGTGCTTACCTGTGTGCTGTGCAGAACGTACCCGCTCTGAGGTATCTTTATCAGCTCTTACCCGGACGTAGGAATGGCATGGCCGCATGCCTTGTGCCTGCCAAGTGGAGGTGGAGCATGCCTGTGGTTGCCATAGTCTTAGTGTAGTGCCCCACGTGGGAAGCTTTGCTGGGGTGTGTTGTGCAAATAATTGTGCAAGAGGCTGAGGAGAGTGTTTCCACCTGGACTGGTCTTAGGAAGATCAAAGGTTGACATAGATTGTAGTTTGCTATGCTGTTTACCAAATCTTTGGGATTTTTTTTTTTTTTTTGGCCAAATCTCAAGGATTTTAGTGTGAGAAGAATGCCCTGTTGTCTGTCTCAAGTGACCTGCAGTACCATGACCATAGTACTTTGACACGAGGAAGTCAACATTTCTGCATGTCGGAAGGTCCTGGTCCACCTCCTTGGCCTCCTTCTGCAAGAGCGGCACCAGCCAATGGCCTGATGGGTGTCTGAGGAGAGTATCTGTGAAGAAGGAATTGTCTTTAAACCAGGACTGAAGAAATGAGCAGGCTCCATCTCTGAAGAACTGTCCTAGGGCATGGTCATTACAAATGTAAAGGGGGATAAAGATATTAGATTTTTATTATTATTTTTTTTTTTAGAAAGGAGAAAGTTAGGGTCTGGAAAAATAAAGATGAGATTGATCAGAAGAGGGTAAAGGAGTATGAAACGCAGACAAGGTTTTTAGAAGTGAAAATCATGTAAGCTGTGAGAAAAATACAGGTGTGTACATAGCCAAAGAGCAGAGCCCTGTCATGCTTGGTGTGTAATGCTGGGGGAGTCTTGTGAGTTTGGTGGGTTTCTCCTGGGATCTCCTGACAGCATGGTGTGAAAAGACTTTCTGTGCCTTGTAGTGTAGCCAGTGAACAGGGGAGAATAAACAAAATGGTTTACGGATCTGTTCATAGTAAGTTAATCTACAAAGGAACCTACCTTTTTGCCCCAAAAGCTTTTCAAGGACTGGTCAGTTGAGGTAACAACGAAGCTGATGTGAAATTTGGAACAAGTATTTGGTTCTCCAAGTTGCTGGTGTAGACACAGCCAGCGTAATGTCATTTTTTTGTATCGCATAACGGTTAAAAAGCAAGAGGATACATGCTTAGTTTCCTTAAGTCATCAGCAAAAGTCAAAGTAACTTAAACCTATAGTTTTCAAACATGTAAACACTGCAAACCAAAGCAATTATCATGATTTTGTAACAACAGGCCCACACAATGGCAATGTGTAAAACCATTGCTGCTTTTCTGTGTACAGCTGTCTCACAAAATGGCTGTGGATGACAAAGTGCTTCTTAAGTTTTGTTTTTATTGCATCATGTTGTAAATACAACAGGATTCTGACATGCTTTTAACAGGGAAAAAAAATGCTAAAACAAGCTATATACCCTGGATATTTTTGGAAATATCTCTTTATATACTTGGAATTTAAATTATGATGGTACTTATGATGAATTTTGGAAATAAAAGCTCATTACATCTGTTCTCACCACAGGAGTAAACCACATCCTGGTTTAATGTCATATGACTAATTTACTTTTTAAAACTGATTAGTTAATTGCAATTTCTAAATATTTTTCCATGATGGTGTGCAACGCAGTAACTGTTTGTGGGTTACATTCATTGTTTCTTAGTTATGCTTCTATTAATTCAGGATTAGAGAATGGGTAAGGCAGAGGAGATGCACGTCCGCCAAGTGGAAAAGAGAATTTACTCTTATATTTTTCTTGTGATTAAGAAATCAAATTTCTATCAACAATAACTTAAGAAGTTCAAGCAACTGCAAAGCAATGAGCAGTTAGTGGCTTGGGAAGTGAGATAAACCTGGATTTCCAGTTATGTCCTAAAATAATTTTCCAGTTATGTCCTAATGGTGTTTCTCAGGATTTTTTACTCTTACAGAAACCCCCCAAATGGTGTAACGCTGCAACTGGAAAACAGGCCTTTTCCAGCAAGACTGGAAGATTGCCCATATATCTGCCTTCATCCCAAATGGTCTCCCTTCTAACAAATTCCATTTTCTCTTATAGTCCAGTCCCAGGTCACTAAGCCGTATGATTAGTAATGATTATAGGTCTTGGAATTTGAGGAACATCTTTGAACTTCATTGTATTTGTTAATGTTGCTAATGTGGGATCTACAGGTGTAGTCAAGATGTGGTCCCTTTTCATCTCTACCCAAATTATTAGCAGAAGTGGAAGAAGAGAGAGGAAGACTATTGCTATGTACTAGCAATAACACAGTAGGCAGTTTTTCTTTTTTAAGGTGAAGATTGGACTTTGAACTTTCCGTAGGTGATTTTACATCTGTGTGTGTGTGTGCCACAGTAGGGATTCTCTCAGGTAGTAAAACTCTTAATATAATTTGCAAATATATCATTTTCCTTCTTTATATGTTGCAGAATGTAGAATTGTATCTATTTATATATAAATTCAAAGAGATGAACAGCTAGTCACTAATACATTTGCTCTTATTGAAAATAGTCAAAATTTAGCTGAAACAATAAAATGTCCATATTGCGTTAGGGAAGCACTGTCTGGTAGAAATAAATATGGTAGGGCAAATCAAATCTCAATTTTCTGAATTTGAAGATTAATGTTTTATTTATTTATTTTGCGTATAGATTTTCTCTTGAAAGACTGATTCTTCTTAGATTCTGGTCATTCAATAGGAATTCAGACTGCAAAATTTCTGTACTGTGTTATCTTATGACCCCCAAAGTCTGCCTTGAAGTATACTGAGATTAAGGTAAATATGTTAAAATTACAGAATTGAGTTAATTTAGTTAAGAGCTTGGCGATGAAATAGTCTTTCAGTGTGGGAGACTGCAGAGACTTCATTTTCTGGGGGTGAGAGGGTTGGTTTTATTTTTCATCTTTTCAGGAAGAAAGTATTTCATTGAGAGATCTGAAATTGTTATCTAACCATTCAATTCAATAAATAAGGGCTTAAAGAAACTTTATCACCAAATACCATAAGGTTTATACTAATACATATATTTATCAGCACTTCTAGAACTTCAGGGTCTGACTGTGATGTATACTATTGTATATTTATCTTCTTATTATTTTATTTTTTAAATTAAATTACTAGTTACAAGTAACAGTGGGAGACTCTGGGTGAAGTTTCAAAAGCTAGTTGAGTCTATCTGATTGCTCATTATTGCTGAAAAGGTGATACTGCTCCATTTAATCTGCTAGTGGTGGATACTCCTCCACCTCTAACCTTAGCATCCGTGGTAACCTCACTAGCCACCAGCCATTAATAAAGTCAGTGAAGGTGCTAGAAACGGAGACAGTTTTTTTTAAATAATCTGTTTTTTCGGCCAAAATTTAGAGTTTACATCGGTGCATTGGCTTACTTGGCAGGCAATGGTACTGCTGTGTATCTTCACTGACTGCAATTAACTACTTTTTTAATATAGTCACCATTCAAATATTTCAGGATTTTGAAAACCAGACAGTTATGACACTATTGAAATGAATGTAACGCAGCAAATGAAATGATTGCAAAGTTCAAACATCCTACTGTGCTTCTGGAATAAATTTTGTGAATTTAGCAGAAGTTCTGTAGTCTGCTCCATTTATTTTCTTTGTGCTTTGAGATGTTTTCATAAAGAAATTAGTATCTTGTGTACATGAAAACCTATTTCTCAGACCTTTACAGAAGATCTGAAGGCAAGCTCTGAAGTGAGGATTTTACCTTAGTAAATTGTCTTGAATGGAGTTCACGTGTTCACAGAAGTGGATTGTGCCTGAAATGTTTTTTTGTTTTGTTTTGTTTGTTTGTTTCACATCAGGCTTCTATTAAGAAAAAATACATTTAAAAAGTTAGGAAAATGAGACCATCATTGTCAAAAAACTAAGTAATTCTGCATTACAGATTTCTTACCTTAGTATTAGGTCTTTTCAAATGATATTTTTTTCTCTCTTATCTAGCATTTTAGTGCCATGACTACAGCACCAAGACAAACGTTATTACTTATCTTCCTCTGATACTGTCTGTTAATACCACAGGCTGTTTCTTGCATAGTACGGAGTGCATGCATTCCTTTTAATGTAACTTTCTCTACCCTCTTCCTGCATTAGGAAAGCTAATTTGGGATAAAGGGAGTTTGTAATCTGTTGAGTATATTCCAAAATTTCTGGGTGATGTTAGTGAATAGAGCTGCAAGACAAACATGGAGGCAGACTAGGCTGGCTTCACAGTCTGTGGGGAGAACCTAGTCCTGTACATCATCATCCATAAGGCTTGTTTGCTGGGTAGTTTCCCAGTTCTTACCATTAACTACTACCAGGTCTTTTTTTGCCTTGCTCAGTATTGGTGAATTAGCCCTCAGTTATGAGGTGCTGTCTTTTAAGAGCCACTTTCAGTAACTTGCGAGCAGTGCTAGTGAATTGGGGAGGTCCCAGTTGGCTGGAGGTTAGGGAATGGGACTCCAATCTGCAGTAAGGGCAGGAAAGAGGATCGTGGAAACTACAGGCCTGTCAGTCTGACCTTATTACCAGGGAAGGTCATGGTGCAGATCATCTTGAGTGCCATCACACGGGTCATATAGGACAACTGAGAAGTGACTGAGGGAATTGGGGTGGTTTAGTTTGGATAAGAGGAGGCTGAGGGGAGACTTCATCGCTCTCTGCAACAGAAAGGTTGCAGCAAGGAGGGTATTCTCTTTTCTCAGGTGACAAGTGATAAGACACAAGAAATGGTCTCAAGTTGCACCAGGAGAGGTTTAGTTTGGATGTTAGGAATAATTTCTTCACAGAAAGGGTAGCAGAGCATTGTAGCGGGCTGCCCGGAAAAGTGGTGGAGTCCCTGGAGACTCCAGGGATGTTTAATAGACGTGTGGATGTGACACAAAGGGACATGTATTAGTGGTAGGACTTGGTAGGCCAGGTTGATGGGTAGACTTGATGATCTTGAAGGTCTTTGCCAACCTAGAAGATTCTATGATTTCATTGTTGCTAAAAGTAGCACAGTTAGTTTTGGGGGATCAATTTGTAAAAATGTAGACTGATCATTTCTACTCTTTTCCATTTTTATATGTGTTTGCGCTGAGCTACCAACTAGTAAATGCTCACATGTATTTGTTGCTTATTGTAAAATACTTCCTATAGAGTGAATTGGAGAGAAAAAAAAAAAGAAAAAGGAAGATGAGTTAGAGAGGCTCCTTAACATGCTCAGCAGTGTTTAGTTCTCTGAATTCCATGTGAATACTCCACTACGAGTGTTTGTGTGTCACAGGCACCAGTGTGTGTAGGTTCCAGAAAATGGTACTTATCCTGGGGACAGAGTGCCTGAAGTTGATACAGCAACAGGCAAACAGTGGCCAGCAAGGCAGCTGCTGCATGGAGGTACCCTGAGAACTGCAGGTGGCTGTGGAGGAGCTGCAGGTAAAATGGTGGCACCTCAGCAACAGCACCAGCAGCATCTCCTAGCAAGCAGTGATCTTTGCTCACCTTGTAGATCCTGAAATGTAGTAATGTTTGCATCTTTGCTATGGTGACGGACAACATGGGGTGGCTGCTAGCTGAAGGGTGCAGGTAGGAAGTGCAGATGCTCGTCAGTCTGTTGCACGAGTTTTCAGTACCCTGCAGTTGGGCTGTCTCCTGGAATTCCAGGAGAAAATCCTTTCTAAGAGTGAGTTTGTTTAGTTAAGGTTTTCGTAGTAACTAATAACAATCTTATAATGATTCTTAACCATCACCCAGTACTAGGAGAGAGGTGAGCCCAGATTTCTTTTTCTCTTCCTTACTTACTTTTTTATTTTTTTATTTTTTCTTTCCCCTCTGCTCTCACATAGTAATACAGTCCTTGAAGAGTTCAACTTGGGACCCCCGTTGAGGTCTCCTGTGGATCATGTACAGTATGATCCGTGCTGTATGTGTGAATGGAGAATGTGTATTTTTCATTGCTGCTATCTCAAGAGGGAGAAGAATGAAGACTCTTGGTGGTAAACCCTTCATACGTGACCTCACTCAGAGAACTTCCTTTTTTTAAGGACACTTACTGAATTCTTACTGAAGATGTTTCAGAGTTTCATATAGACCAACAGATGCAAATTACATTCTTTCCTTCTCAAAGCCACATGCATGCAAGACAGCAGCCCAGCGGCTTTAAGACTGGTTGTTGCATTTTACTCAGAAAAGGGCAAAGTGATTTAGGTAAACTTTGTGGCTCTCCCCTAGCTGTCATGGTAAGCACCAGAATGCTCTCTAACCAAGCATTCACTAAGAAAATCTCTGCAAAGGTAGGCTTTGAAAAGAGCTTTGACTGTGTGCCAGGACAGCTAAAGTACTGTCTTCTATGTTGCGAGGAAACCCCACTCGCCACAAACATCTTGAAGATGACCACTTTGAGGTCTCTTCATTCTTTCCTGAGGTGTTGCACAATTTGAGCCATATGTTTTTACCATATTGGGCAAAGCAATTGTACTTCACTTTGTGTTGAGCCTCTGAGATGCAGGCTGTGAGCTGACTGCTCACTGTTTTGGCATCCCCAGTGGTGGAATGCGTGCACAGAGGATCAGATCTCTCAGAGGAAGAGGAGAATTTACTGACATCCTTATCCACATTCCAGGGCATGCCTTTCATCTCCTCATCTGCACCATTGTGCTGCTCAAGAGAGAGGGTCATTAATGTTCTTCCATTCACACTGTAAGGACAAAGCTCAAGGGAACTCCATCCTTTATGTGTGCTATGAACTAAATTCCTATGTGTTTGTGTATATGAGGTATGTCCACAGCCACAATGAAAGAGATGAAACAGGTAAGGAATATTTCAGTGGTTTGGTACTCAGTCTAAGGATCTTTTTTTCTCTGCAGTGCTCAACAATTTGCATTCATGTTATGGTGACCTCTCCATGCTAGTGGAATATAAATGACAAAAGACAAGTGGATTAGATCATCAAGAGTCACTGATGTCTTAGCAATAATATGTTGATTTCTCCCACCTGGCAAAGATCCTAAGATTTTTTTTTTCTACATCTTTGGGGAAGGGGAGAAATGTTTGGTCAAACTTGGAAAATTCCCTCGAATGACAGCAGTAAGTCTAATCAGAGGATAATCAGGTTATATCAAACCTGTTAATTCAATATCTGACCACTTTATTTGTTTCAAATAGATTGCTGACTTGTAAGCATCTACTTACAGATTTATAGTGTTCCCTATTAAATATAGGGGACTCATTATCCATTTGTTTCTTGAGCAATAATGCTTTGTCATATTCAGTACTGAAGTACATACTGATGTAAATACAGTACATACAGTACATCTATTTACTTTATATACCATTTTAAGAATTTTATGTAGATTATGCTGTATATGTATGTATAGATGTATTATGTAGCTATCTGCTGTAATTATACTGATAAAAATTTATATTATTGAAAATAGTTATTTTGATAATTACCGGCATTAAAATATAGATATATTAGAGTCCCTCCATCTTAATTAAAATTCAAACAGGTTATACAGTTTTTTTAATCAGTTTTTATTTGTTTACAAAATATAAATAGGTCATAAATGCAATCTCAAATATTTTAAAAGCATAAGTTATACAACAATCTAGCTTCTGAAAAATTCTTTTGGTATCAAATACATATTAAATAAGTTGATATTCTGAATAATACCATTAGAAATGAAATAAAATAGGTCCTTTCTTTAAATTATTTCTAAATATTGAAAATATAAATAGAAATCATTAGAAATGAATAAATATTTTAAATACAATAAATAGGTTCCTAAAAGGAAATGAGGATATATAAAAATGAAAACCATTGTTACTATTTCTGGTTCTTAAAACAGAACAACACTGTCATCTGCCACATGACAGATTTGTAACAAAGGATCGTGCCCGAATTAAAACATTCAGACACTGACACTCCTGGTGTTTTTCAAATAGCGAACAGCCCTCACGGTTTTCTCCATAAATGAAGTAAAGTCTCGGAGGATGAGGTGTGTGGTGATTTTCTCTATCCAGGTCTTATCCGATTTCAGCTTTGTGAGGAGGGATTTCTGGGTAGCTGAATCTGGGATGACCACTTCATCAGGATTTATCACCTGTGAAAAACAGAATATTAAAGTGCCCTTGTTAAAGTGGTTTAAACAATCTTGACAGTGATTGGTTTATACATAAGAATATGTTTCAACCAGCTGTGTATTCACCCATTCTGCACAGCTGCTGGCAGACCTCCCTGCAACCTGTGTATATCTACAGCTCCACTTCTGGGGTGGGATTTGAGGTATATTTGTATCTGCTGCTATATCTCCAGAAGAATCAAAAGCTCTTGTCTAGTCTATAGCATTTGTTCTGGTTTGCATGTTCCAGTCAAATGCGCTGCACTGGACAGATCAAACACTTTTGCCTGGTGTCCACCTACCATGTAGTTAGCTGGGAAGATGCTGAACATGATACGTCCTAATCCATACTGGCTGCTGCATCCTGAATCATAAGTTAATTAGATGACATTCAAGTGCTCTCGCATTTGGTAGTAGATTAACGGTTTTCAAAAGACACCAAACTTGTCTAGCTGCTTAATTCCTACTTTCCAGGCATTGAGATACATGGAAGATTAACCATTACCACTTTCTTTGGTGTGTGACATCCTAAGAACAAGATGAGTAAGAGAAGTTTCATATCTAATTCTAGCAGTCAACTCTGGGAACTGGATACCCAAATGGTTTCAAAGAGCTTGTCCCATGGTGTGGCTGGATGACTTTTTTAAATGGGACTTGCCCAAATCATGGAGCAGTTTCAGTTCAGTTTCTAGAAGTCTAATAATAAAGTGTCTTATTCATCCTGTTTTTAAGATCTGTCCTACTCTTTAACAAGTGACAAAAGCACATGCACCTCCTTCTGGAACTTTTTTTTTTTTGGTCAAATTAAAGTAATGAACATTTGAACATTTACTTGTGTCTAGACTACTTGGAGATGGATTCTGATCATGTTTAGTTACAGGTATATCAGACACCTTTTTGCATGCTTTTTTTTTTTTTTTTAAATTTGGATATCCAGACAGGTATCTTGCTAATGGATCGACTTGACCACAAATGACAGATTCTTTCCACCTGCTCTCCTTGCCTTAAACAGCAGAGAGACTTCCCATAAAGAAAAGTTTCCACCCTAGAGATCAAGGCTCCCGATTTTCTCAAAATCTCCATAGTTCCTTCAAATGAAGGGTTTGATTTGACCATCGAGTTTAATTGCACCTGTCCTAATTACCTCTACCTTTATAATTTTCAGAAAAGGCTAGTCTCACCCAGCTATAAAACAAACTTTCTGCAAACTAATGAGTTTGAAGTCAGTACTCAGCTGCTGTCTTATGACAGGACTATTATTCTTAGCAAGTACAGTGTGAAAAAAGCAGTTCAGCTTCCTTTCACTTAAAGAATGATGAACATAAATAAATATGTTAAGAAAGGTATTAGTATCAAACAATGGCCTTTTCAACACTGAAAAGCACCTTGAAGGAAATAATGCCCTGAGACTTCCGCAGTTCTTAATTCTGGAATCCTTACTCACCTGGGTGGTTCTTACTCATGCAAAGTTTCACTGATGACAAAGAAAGTATTCATCTTAAGGATTATTAACATGAGTAAGAACTGCAGGAATGAAATGAATTTTAAAGTGTGATCTTTCAAAGCACTCCAAAACACACAAAACAGCTGTCAGAATTGAATAGCCTTTAGTTTACCAAATGAAAAGAGAATCAGATGTCTATAAAGAATATACATATATTTTTTTTCCCCATGATGGTTGCAAGCTTTTCAATAGGCAGCACCTTTAATTTAGTTGGGTCATTAACTTATGTTCTGAATTTATCTGTTTTCTTTGATTGTAAATTAGGTGATATTTGAATACACCACACAGCTCACTAGAAAAGTTTGTTTTGGAGAGTTTTAAAGATTCATAATATTGTAAAACTGTATTTACTATTATTCATGTAGGTTTTAAGATAAGTTATCGTATTCCTTGGAGTTTTGCAACATTAGGAGGTTAGGACTGAACTGCAGTTTAGGAAAGAATTGCCTGAGAAGTCTCAGCCAGGCAGCATTAGCATATTTGTTCTTAAACAGAAAGCTGCATTTAATTGTCAGTTTGTAAATCAAAAATGAAAACAGAAAGTGGGAAGAAGAGTAGTTTCTTTAACAAAACAGACACAACCTGTAAATTAGTCATAAGGTTAAGTATCCGAGCATAAGGAACTGCTGTCACCTGTTCATCCTGAGAGAAGTAAGAGTGGGAAATGTTTGGCTTCGCAAGCTCCCTATTCCTCCGACTACACATCAGTTCTAAGTCACAAAAGTTGTCTGAGTAAATTTAAAAAAGACTCACCATCTGCCTTATCGTCGTTGCCAGATGCTTTGTGCTATAGCACAGCGACTCAACTTTTTGCTTTTCACTGGTAAAAGTTTCTTGTACGTATTCAAGGTAGGTCTGAAAGGTGAAAAGCCCGCTGGAGAGTTTCTTCAAGCATTTCTCCTGGAAAGAGAAAGGTGAGAAGGTCAGCTCTAACTCGGATGTGGCTTCGGCGGAGCGTGGTCCGGAGGGGCAGGTGGGCAGGAGGGAGGGGGCACAAGCTGCTTTTGGGGCAAGCCCCAAAGTGCTGCCGGGGTTCGGGCGAGAAGGGGAGCGCTTCCTTGCCTCGTCGAAGCCAGCCAGGAGACACCCGTCTTCCTCCGTCACCTTGGGGAGGTTGAGGTTGTTCTGGACCAGCATCTCCATGCTGTTCTCGCAGACGGTGAACTTCTCGCACATCTGAGGGGAGAGACACCCACACCTCGCGTCGCACCTCGGCGGCGAGCAGCAGCCCCCCGACCCCGGGAGGACGACCACCCACCCCCTGGCGGCCCCGTACCCACCTCCTCCTGCAGTCGGGCCGCCCGGGCGTGCAGCAGCCAGGCCAGGGCCTCGCAGTCGGGCAGCGCCGCTCGCCTCGCCCCGGCCTCCTCCGGCTCGGCCTCCCCGGAGGAGTCGGGGCCGGCGGCCAGGGGCAGCGGCGCGGCGGCGGCGGGCGGAGGCAGCAGCGGCAGCAGCAGCAGCAGGGCGGCGGCGGAGCGGAGGGAGGGCGGCCCCCGGCTCCTCGCCGCCTGGCAGCCGTCGGGAGAGCTCATGGTGAGGCTCTTCTTCTTCGGCTCCGTCCCGTCTTCGGAGGAGGAGGAGAGGCCGGCGGGTTGAGTGAGCTCCGGGCATCCCTGAACGTGTATTTATCGAGGGGGCTTCGAGATTATTCACGGCCTGGGAAAATCCGGGCTGAGAACACGGGGGTGTGCGCTCGCCCCGTCTGAGCGCGGCGGGATTGTGAAACGGGGCCGTGGGGGGCGAGCCGAGAGGAGCCGGGCAGAAACATGAAGTCATTTTCCCAACCGGTAACTCCTTGAGGGCCGGGCTCCCGCTGCAGCAGCCGCAGCCGCCGGCTCACCTGGCCCCGCCGGGCCGGGACAGGGGCTGCAGCCGGGGCCGGAGCCCCCCCCGGAGCCCCTCGGGGCCGGGCACCCTCCCGCGGGGTCCCCGCGCCCCCCTCGCTGTCAGCCTGCACGGAGGCACGGCCGCCCGTCGGGTGTCCAGCATCAGAGCCACAGCCTTCGAGTGCTTTGTGATTTACATCTGCGCTTCCCGTGCTCTTACTGTGTACAAATACGGGACTAAACGCGCTCGTTTAGGTGCACACGTCCAAGCTGTACGCGGTCACAGGCACAGCACGATGCGCGTCCCATGCACAGCGGGTGGAGGGCCAGCTCCTGCAGCCGGCACAGGGCAAGGACCGCAGGAAATGCCACGCAGTTACCTGTTATCTGCAGCCTTATCCTTCCACCTGCCTGGGGGGGGCGGTGGGAATTTGAACATTTCGCAGGGAGATCTTTCAGCCGGGGCACGTGAGTCTGTCCGGCTCCATCGCGTGGGGCACGGGCTGAGACCGACTGCTCCAGGCTAACTGCTGGGATGGCTCGAACTGATTTTGGCAAAACGGGCTTGTTTTTGTGAAATCTGTACCTTTATCTCAGGTGGACAGAAGCAGAAAATGAGAAGGATGTAACATGGGGCATAGGAGAAAGGATGACACAGTGTGACTGCACTTGGGTGTCCTCATGTGGACTCTCCTTTTTAACAAAGGCAGACACTGCCAGAACACACACACACACACACATACATATATATATATATATATATGTATTTTTTTTCAGAAGAACCTGGATAGACAACCTCAGGAAAGAAGCAGATTTTTTTTTTTTTGGAGTGGAAAGGCAGCTGTAGTGATTTTGCCCAGGGGGAGATGACAGCACTGAGATGCAAGTATAACAGAGTGATCCTCAATAGCAGCAATCAGAACCATGCCTGGTGCTCAGCAGAGAGAAGCCATAGCAATAATAGGATAATATTAGAATAACAGAAACAATAACAGAATAAAAGGATAAAACGTAAAACTAACACTCTGAGTGACTCATATCAAGGATTTGTTTGCAAGGCGCCAAAGGCCAGAAACAAGCAGACCAGATCAGCTCAGTACTGCAGACAAGCCTGGTGTTTTCCTTCTGGTTCATCAGGGGCAGATACAGCAGGGATGGACACTCGTTTCCATTTGTGATAGCACATCGATGCACGTCCAGGAGAAATATTTCCTTTCAATTCCAGACAGCTCATGACCTGTTCCCTGCAGACAGATCAGCTTTCCTTTTGTTCCCCTTTACCTAGCTGAACTGAAACACCGACTATTCCTAAAATCACCTGACCTTGATGGAATGCTACATTTACTTAATAATATATTTTCAGCAGGCTTTCTGAAAGTTAGTCTTGCTTGTAATTTTTAATTTTGTGATTTTATTTGATGTTGTCCTTTTTTCCTTGTATCATGTCTATTCCTTAGCAGTGTCCAAAAGACCTTTTTGTGCTGATCACTGTTATATGGGTTTACTCTTGACAATGCATCTAGTTATATCTTCAGAGTGAAATACAAGAAAATTCCAATTGTTTTTTCTCATCTTAAAGTTTCTAAGCTTTCTGTCTTTACTGCCTCTTACTGATTTTTGTTATGTTTTGTTTTGTTTTGTTTAGTCTTTGTATTTGAGTGTCAGTGTGACTTTTCAGAATGTACAGAGTATCCTTACATGCTCCCATGGAAGTTGCTAATTAATGCCTTACAAACTCACTGCTTGACAATCCAGCACAAAGCACAGCATTCAAGAGGAGGAACTAAAATTTACACAAGGCAATTAAAATGCTTCTGCTACTAGATGCTGTAGCAGAAGACAGATGGCTGCATCGTGATGTGCAAAACCTTCTTAGTGGGTACCCTCAAAACTATTAACAAAACCTCAAAATAGTGGGTACCCTCAAAACTATTAACAAGGGATCTTGAGTTCCTATAGCTCTTTAAGAGATGGGTTTTCTGTTGTCCATCAAGACACGAACACTTCACCCATTTTTTGGCTTATTTCTTGTTAAGTATTTTTGTACTGAGCATTTGCTGAAGTTAAAGGGTCAGTAAGTGCTTCCATGTCTCTTCTCCACAGTTTCTGTGATACATTAGTGATATCTTCAAGAGCCTACATCAAAAATACCAGGCTTCAGAAGAGAGGTGTTTTTTTTTTTTTTTTTTTTTTTTTTTTCCCACGTATTTTCAAATAAAAAGTCACTACCGGCTTCACCAAGAGGTTGAATAGGAGAAAATGAAACCAAAGTGCCCCGTGCTCTACTTGAATTGAACAGGTAGAGCAGGACATTGATATCCTGCTGTTCATGTTTCTCATAACTAAACATTGCTTTGAGAATCTACACGTGACACCAAAGAGCACTGGCACACAGGAACAACCTTTGCTTTTGCTGCATCGAAATTTTCTTTGGTTCTTTGCCAGCAGGGAACCACAGAGATGTTGGGGATTTTTTTGTGAAAAGCTCTGGGGATTGCTCATTTTCTTTCCCTAAAGGCAGGCTTGCATCATTTTTAAACAAGACTAGGATATGTAGTAATAGACTCAAATTTTCTGCTTGAGCATATCATATGCAAATACCATGAATTTCCATGCCTTAGGCTAAATTAGAGGTTTAGAGGAAAAATTCTTAGCTTTAATTTATGTTCTAATTTTCAACTTTATCTGTTTAGTCTTCAGAAGAGAAATCGTGCCATGGTCTTCTCTAGTCAACCTTCAGGCTGGCTAGTATGTGGTCCCAAGTTAAAGAGGCCCTGGAGATAACTGTTCTTGGGGAATATCCAAATATCACAGGTCACCCTAAATAGACATGTCCCTGCCAAATCATAATGATTGCAGACAGATACCCATATATACACCTTTATGATTCAAAGTGGTTTTAAGCAGCCATTTTAACTCTGGAATGGGATTAAGGTAGCACTCGTCAGTCACCCTAGACTTGCCCCAGTAGTACTTTTCTGCTGTGGCTGCACTGATAAATGGCATCAGTAAGTGATTTTATAAACCTTTCTCATGGGAGGAAGGTAGTTTGCACTTTGCCTCCATCATGGTGCTGCACACCTTTTCATATGGCTACATGAGGCACCAGAGCAGAGAACTGGTCAAGTTACAAATTCTCCCATATTTTGTCTTTCACAAGCTCAGCACCTGCATACTAACTGCATTTGGCTTCTTCATGACCATTGCCCACTCTCGTGTGTACACAATTTTGACTGAAGATCCCTTTTTTATTATGAGTTTTGTGTTTTGAATTGATGGATTGTGCTTCTATAGAAAGTCTCTGTCTGCTTTTGAAAGTAAATTGACTGTAAATTCTGCTTGTGTTTAAACAACTTCTTGTTTCCATTTGAGCTCTCTTCTAAGTATGAAAGATGAAAATTCAAAGACATTATATGACTAAAGAGAAGAGGAAGGTTTTTCAGTCATCAGGGAAGATGATGAAGCTGAAAAGAGAAAACAGTGAGCAGTTAGAGTATATCAGAGGTACTGAATGGTGTAACTATTTGTTATTTTTACTGTTGATCATTTTTTAACATAGTATGTTAGAAGTAGATTGTGTTTTACAAAACATTCAAAAGGTAAGTTCTTCCGCACAGCTTGCTCAATGCGAAAGGAGAACAAAGGGGTGTCAATGTTTAGCTATGAAACAATCACACTTCTGAGTGCATGCCAAGTCTAGTTCAGTTCTGTAAGCATAGGATCTCTTTCAATCTTACATAAAAATTTGATATGTTGTTAATGAGACCCTTGTAGATCTATTTACCTACATTCAAGTCTATTTTTTTGTGACCATGACCGCTTTATAAGGCTGTTCTCTCACTCAGTCTGACCTCTAGCCATGCATCTTCATTCTGTTTTACTTCATGACTGTTTTTCTGCAATGTTGTAAGTTACCTAACCCAAGTCGTATAATCATCCTCTTGTGTTTTTCTCCTGGATAGCAGAAGGTTCTTTTTCAACTGACAGCTGAAGTTGAACAGTGGTTATTTTTATAATTGTATGCAAAATTATTCAAGATATACTACTTCTTAGGCTTGAGAGAGCTTTACTTCTACATCAGAGCTTAGAATATGGAGAGATGTTTAAAGTGGAAGTAGGTGTCATTTTTATATCCAATCTGAGTGTAATGAGTCATACAGACTGTCCACATAGAGGGCTATCTTTTACTTATGCTACAAGGTGGTAGTAATGCTTTACTGGACCACTGATAAATGTATCATAACTCCATTGCCAGAATCAGGCTGCAAGAATTTAGTGCATCTCCCTTTGGGAGATAACATTCAATAGTAAGTTATATGTCTTGGATTTTTTTCATAGGAGATGAATAACTAGAAAAACAAGACACACTATGCACCTGCTCCAACAGATGTGCAGTTATACAAAGGTTTTTGGAGCTCAAGGATCCTGTAGTGATATAGGGGAACTACTGAGGAGTTTGCCACTATGGTCATACCTTTGGCCTTACAGTCCTGTCAAAAAATCTTAACATCACTGCTCAGAAACTGCCTTAAGCAACTTCCTCCTTGCTGTGAAGGTTTTAACAAAGCCCTTTATTGTTCTATACTGAATTTGCTAAAGGGAATCTACTCACTATAGTGGGAGCCCTTTGTAATTGCACGTCAAAACACTATAACAGCAAGGATTAATAGGTTGTGCTGGATCTGTAATCTTCACTCTTCCCATACTGCTATTATTGAAACAAAAGTATCCTGAGGGGGCAAGCTGGCTATAAAGACTTTGATCCAGTCATCAGAGGGTTCAAATGGTCTAGGTCCAACTAGATCTTTCCACCAGGTGGCCAATTAGAGGGCTAGGTGGTTTTAGTTTAGATGGCTCAATGGGGATATGGGAGATGTTGAATCACATCTCTTTCCTATCCAAAGGGATTGGGAACCCAGATTTGCTACTTTACAGGAAAGTTCTCCAACTCCTAAAAGTAATCATGGCCATCAGGTATTTTCCATTCTGTCCTCTTAAAGTGAACTATTTTTCATCAGATAGAAGAGGTCAGGAATCAATGTGCTGCCTTGGTGGGCTGGCCTGTATTTCAGGTAATGTTTGCCACAGTGTATAACACAAGAAATGTAGCCCTTGGGCAGAAATAGAAAGTGATTCCCAAGAAATCTTGTGACCTCAGAGCTGTTGAGTAAGCCTGGGCAGGACTGAGGACCCACAGTATTGTCTCTGCTTCCTCCATAGGTTGCGTTTGGGGAGGAAGAGCTGGTTTGCACACCCAAACCCAGGATAAGTTCAGTGTTGGCTGCCTGGGAGAGAGGGATCTGCTTTCCTGAGGGGGAAAAGCTCCTCTCCTTGTTGTTTCTTTTGCGCTGGTGCAAGAGCTCCTCATGTTTTTTGACTGTCTCTCACTTAGCCCTTTGCAGGGGAACATCATGGCTCTGTCTGCCCCAGTCAGGTGCTGCTTGGTGTAAAGTCCCCTGGTATCACTCGTTCTGAATGTAGCGATTCCCCTGCTGGTTTTAAAAATACATGTGAAACCAAAAGGAAAAAAAAAAAGAAAAAAAAAGAACACTAAAAAAACAGAAGCAGTCTAGATGAACCAATGGAGTCTGAAAAACCCTAACTCTCCCCTATGCCTGAAATGGTGTATGACAGTGGCAATTTTGGTGTGAAGAGGGAACGCGTTGGGTATCTCCCTTGTTGTCTTTGTACCTTAGCTCTGCAGTATCACGTCACTCCTGTGGCTCTCATCTTCATTGTTATTTATAAAGGCTCAGGTCTTGGGATTTATATGGTCTACATTTTTCTCATGCATCTTGCCTGGACTTGTCAGGATGAAGTGCTTAGGCTTTTGAAACATGTCTGAAAATGAAGTGCATTCTCTTTATTCCCCATAAATACAACAAACATTAGCAAACATGAACAGAGATGAAGGACTTAGTTCAGAATTACAGGTGCTTTTAAAAAATTGGTAAAATAAACTTATGTGTTTCATTTCATATAGAATATATTCCTTGGTGAGTGTTGCACTTTTCAGCTATGTGCTATCCACGTTTCCCAGTCAGCCCAGGTGCCACATACCTATCTAGTGAAATCTGCTGCTTTCTGCCTGACACTTCTTATGTGGTTCCATAGCTGTTGTGGGTTAATATCAGCAAGGGAAAGCCATTACTCAAAGGAATGGCACTGCCAGGCCACAGTCTGACTTCTGCCACAAGTCACTTTTTCTCACCATCTCCCATGTGTGTTGGTATTGACATTTGAGCAGCTGGGGGGAGGATCTGGTTGGAAACCAACCTGGCAAAGGAATGTAATAAAAACAGATTTCAGTGGGATCTATTCTATGATATGACTCTCTGCATGGTTGCCCAAACATTTGTGTCAGTGTGATGATGCCTGATTCCTAGGACTGCATAAATAATTAAATAAAAATAAAAACTGCAAATAAAAAAACTGTCGTTATGACAAACATGAAGAACATTTTACCTCATCCCAAAATAGCATTTAGTTCTCACTTCTCCAAAGTAGCACATACTCTTGAAACCAGATTAAAAAAATAGAAGGTTTTAAGAAATTTAAGTGTTCATCACTTTTCATAACAAAAAAATCTCGTAGCTAAATTCAATCTGAATTCATGAGGACTTCTGATTCCTCGCGCTTTCAGCTTTCACATTATATTTTGGACATGTTTGTTATTCCCTAAATGGTCTTTTTAGCCAGCTCTACCCACTGCTCACAGAAAGCCACTGCACATGTTTTATGCTGTTGTAACTCCTGTGGTTTTGAAAGGACTCCTCTTGCCTGATGCCCATGAAAGAGAAAAGAAAGTCAAGCTGAAGATTTTTGGAGTCTTAGACAACTGTTAGTACGTATTTTGCCATCTGAATAGGTAAGTCCACACCTGCCATTTTTTTATACTAAGCAATTTGAATAGGTTGCAAGATCCTTTGTACTACAAACTTCACGAGATCCTAACCTCTAGAAGTCATAGCTTTTGAAGAGGGTTTTGGTGTGTGGGCAGATAGCCTAGCTACAACCTTCACTGATCTTTGGTCTACCAAAATCCTCTGCAGGACCAAAAGTCTGCCAAGAGTCAGCAAAGCAAAGATTTTCTGGCTTCTTACAATGATAAGAAATGTAGAAGGAGGAGAGTACTTTAACTTCCTTAGAATTCCTTTTTGTTTCATATTTCATAGTTTTCTTATGATGTATGTATAGAGCAAATTTTGTGTATTGTTTTAGAGAAGCAGCCACAGGGGTAAGTAAAATAACTGCTTATCAAAAGTGAAAAATCAATGTCACACAGAAGGAAAGTTGCTTTTTAAATTTTCTCAGTGTATGGTAAAATTACTGTAAAAGGGTGGATTTTGTTTACACTGAACTTAACGTCAACATTCCTATTGATTTCATTATGAACCTGGCACTGTCTTGTATGTAAAAGGAAAGACAGATGAATGGAAAATGCGGAAAATGAATTCTACCATCCCTCCTACCTTCTGTACAGTTTGTTCACTCTCACCTTAGCCGTAGTCCCTCTCACCACGATTTGAGAAAACATTTCTTAAAGTAGTACCATTAGATCAAAGGCTAGCAAGGTAAGAAACATATATAACTTGTTGAGCTTTTGCAAGGAAGAAAACCAGTCAGATGGTATAAGAAAGGGATAATTTACTGGTCCCATACATTAGATGACATCTGCTTAAAATCCCTTGTTTGCCATTGACAATCCCTTGTTTGCCATTGACACTCAGTTCATTGCCAGGGGATGAAGTCACTCTGCCTGTTGTGCCAGTTCTTCCTTTGAATTAGCCCCTTAAGCACTAGTAATCTTGATAAGCCTGGGGTAACAAGAAGAGAATAACCTTGAAAGGTCACAAACTATACAATGGGAACATGTCTCTAAATCCTTCTAAACTGCCATTCTCAAGTAAGGAAGAAAAAGGTCACACGAAAATAATCCTTACATTACACTACAGTAAATCAAGGCTACTGCACAGCCTTGAAGAAAAAATGAAATACCAGTGAAATTTTTGCCTTACCCTTATTTTCTTCCTTTTTTTGGGATCTGGAATGGCTTTATTAAATCCAAAGTAGTAATTTACACAAAATAGAAAATATTACTTTTTCACTGTAAATGCTCTAAAAAAATCAGGAATGGCTCCTGGTGTTTCTAGATTGCAGGACATCTGTGATAGCTGACTGGCTTTCTCAGTTTGCTCAGAAATTGAATTGTAAATGAGAGTCTAGAATGTTTCCTGCTAAAATTGGGCACATCTAAAGAGATGTTAGATTAGAATTTTACTGTATATCACCTGACATGTAAATGATCATTACAGGGAACCATCAGCTCCTGGTGTCCCTTGCCCTGGAGCTTGGTAGCAGTGTTGATGATGTTACACCTCAAACAGAAGTGCCCTGGGGCCAGGGACTGCCATCATCAGGGCCCAGTCACCATGATATACTTCCACAAAGTAGATAACTAACAAGCCACAATGACTGTCTTTCTGAACCACAGCTTCATTGTCTTGAATATTGTCCTCAGTGGCATAGATCTCTTCTTCCTGATGCAGAAAAGAAGACTAAATTCTTCAGCTCTACTATCTGTATCTGTACCATAGACACTAAATATTACATTACAGTATTATATTACAGTATAATTTCAGCTGTACCATACATCAGCTATACTGGCAGTGACAAAAGCACTCCCTGGGAGGAGGGGGGAAACTGGAGCTGGTTGGCCATCTTGGGGCATTCCCACCACTCTGTGGTTCAAGCTCCATCCAGATAATCCACAGCAAAGCTGCCAAAAACTCAACATGTTGTTTTACAGACCCAGAGCAAAGAGGAATCTGTTCCTGTCTCTGCTGTGGTGCTGACAGTAACTATAATCGTACTCTGTTTTGTAGTGGAGAAACTCTTGCACAGGGAAGCATCTCTAACAGAAGTTTTAGTCTTGGCTCTGAAAGGAGCCACACAGTGGTCTTGGGCACTTCACATGGTCTGGAGTTATTCTTAAATATTCACCAAAGGGTCACTTTTTGAATGCTGTCTTGAGATGTACTTCTATTCACGTTTCCATTTCTCCAGCTTCTTGCACAGTATTGTCTTAGATGTGGAAGATCTTCGAATAGTAGGTGGCTGCACCGTGTTTCTGAGAGTCTTGTTGTCACTGGTGGTAATGCTATGCCTACACAGCAGTGAAGCATACGAAGACATCCACAGGACCAGGGTTCCGCTATATAAAGCTATTTTTAAGGTATGGTGTCTGAAACCTTTACTTTCAATGCACATTTCTCAGCATATGCTGAGCTGGCAGATGTAGGTGTCTCTTTTTCAGGCAGAATTTTATGCAACATAGGAAGAATATGTTAAATGTTTCCTGGAAATAAATGGAATCTTTCCAAGAGCCTGAGCACCAGAAGAAAAAGAAATGCAATACGCTGACATAAAAGATCATGCTTAGGCAAAGAAAACAGTTGGTTTTAGGTAAGTAATGTAGTATTATCCTATTACAAATAACCAGTCACATTCTCATGGTTTGTGTCATTTCTCTCTGCTGATTTCTAACTTTCCAGTCTTGTGTATTTTATTCATTACAGTTAGTTTACAGTGCTGAAAAAAATCTCTTTTTTCTTTAACAACTCATACCGTGTAGGTAACATTTCTCCTAATTAATAGTAGTGCCCACACAATTTGACTTTTCAGCTTGGTGGTTTTATCATTGGGCTGCAACAGAAGGTTAGGATTATTGTTGTTGGCAGTTCAGTTTTCTCATGTTTTTTTTTTTTTTTTTTTTTTTTTTTTTTTTTCTTTTTAAATGGTTGTTTAGTAAGCGATTGAGCAGATGAAAGAATTAGGTTTGCTTCAAATTGCTAGGGTGAAATTTCAGAATTTCCACTTGACGTGATAGGATATTTATCATATGTTTTGAGCAGATGTTCAGGGATTATATTTATAATAATGTTTGAACTTACAGAATGAAACTGATTCAATATAGAGTATCAAGTTAAAAATGGCTTAAGAATCTATTTCTATGCATAGATGCTCAAAGATTTTAGGAGAACAGATTTTGTCATACCAGCGCCTCTTGTACCCTTGTACCAAGGGATTTTTGCCACTGAGTTCAAGAAGATTGGGAAGAGGCCAACAAAGTCCATCTTGTTGATCTTCCCCACATTGCGAAACTGTTTTAACTACGGGTGCTCTAATAGCAGTGCTTGTAACTCTTTTGCTGGGAATGCTGATTGGAAAAGAGAATACAGCTGGCATAAAGCATAAATCTCTCAACAAAGAGATTTGGAAGGGAATAGAAATCTTGCCTATTGGTAGCTAACTCCTCATCCATGATTCCATCTCTGCTCCTCACTGTTTTCCCGGCCAGTAATTCCAGAACTGAGCTATGCCCAACAAAACCAGACAAGCTTAAAGTGCTGTTCTGGGGGAGTTGGTGCCCCTGTGCACGCTGAGAGCTGGACTAAGGGCGTGTGGGCAACTTCTGCCAGTGCTACTGTGGCAGTGGGTCAGAGCTATAGCGTCCAGCACAGAGAGAAAGGAGTTCATCTGCTGACAGCCCCACAGCCACCTCTTTCTGTGCTAGGGAGTCCCAGCTCCACTGGTAGCATCCAAACAGCACTCTTTCATTTTCTCATCCAGCATGCAAATGTTGGACAGGGCATGGGTAATTCTAGGTGCTCAGATGTGATTTGCAAAGAGGATGTCAATGGAAGTTAGCTGTGAGCATACTGCTGGCTACTGCTCAGGTAGGCTCTTTTTGCACACTTTTAGGATGATTATGCATGCAGGACATTTTGGATCACAGATTTGTCATAATTTTTCTACTTTGAATTCAAGATACAGAGAATCTGGCATTTATTTTTATTTTTCTAGAAAACTCCTGGATTATTGTGCATGCAAAGTGTGCCTATGAATTTTGAAGGGATTGGTATGTGGTAGCATAGCCCTGTTAACAAGTATTCTTCATTTACTTCCTGGGTGTGGACAGAGCTGGTTAAAAGGCAGAGCACTGCTGAATGTTAATAAGTTCGTGGAGAAGAATGAACTTATGAGCTGGGTGCTGTGATGGCAGCAAAAGCATTGGATGGAAATAACTGTGGAAGAGAAGGATCCTTTTATATAAGTGGATATGCTGCTGATGTGATCTCAGCATGGTCTGGTGAGGTATATCCAACAGAAAAGAACAAAGCATAGTGCCCTTATGCCCAGATGTTTGTGAGATTTCATTTAAATATCATTCATGCTTAAGCAGAGATAATCTGGTGCCTATCAGGGTGCCCAGAGCTGCCCAAAGTGGTCAGAGGGATGGAGAGCTTTGTGCTGGAGAGGAGCTGGGAAATGGATGCTGCGTTTAGCCTGGCAAAACAAAGCCACAGAGGGGACAAAGGACTGCTGCCTATCTGCCTATCAGCAGTGCAAATATCTGAGGGGATAGCAATGAACGCATGGGAATAAACTAGCTGTGAACAGAAATGTGACTTTCAAACAAGAAAGTGCTTCCTAACCACGAGACAAATTTCCTAACCAGAAAAAAACGTTATGCAGTGAGGTAGGTCAGATGCTGGAAGAGGTGCCCAGATTGCCATCAAATCTCCAGCACTGGAGAAGCACAAAGCTTGACTGGATGAGACTCTGAGCAACTTGGCCCAGGTTTGAACTGGCTGGTTAAGCAGAGGGTGGCCCAGATGACCTCCAGAGGTGCCTTCCACCGCAAAGATCCCATGTCCCATTAAAATGAGGACATTCCCAGACACTCTTCACAACATGTTAGTGACAGGCAGAATCAAAGAAAGGAAAACCTCTCAAAACCCAAACTGCTGTTAAGGCAGACCTTTCTGACACGTTTATTGTGCATGTTGGTGGTAGGCAGGAAAGAGATCTGGGGACAAGGCTGTTTTTACCAGGTTTTGTGCCTTACAGGGAGGACACACAAGGACAAGGCAGAAAATGTTTAGCCATCTCTTTTTATATTTGGGCCTCAGTTTAGTAGCAGAAATGATGCTTTCCCTGCATTTTTTGAAACAGAGGAACCTAGAAAATTACTTATTGATTGTCTTTATCACTTTTTTTCCTCAATTTATTTTTCACAAGATTCAGTATTTTTTGCAGGAGAGCTGAGAATGACCAAAGTAATGAACAAAAGGAAGTGCTGAGGGTTGGAAAAAATCTATCATTTTTCAATGAAGAAGACTACAGATGAGGTAGAATGGGGATATAGAGTGGGGGGAAAAGTTGGGGAGGAAGGAAAAATTCAAAAGAGTATTCAAGAGGAGATGAAGAAAAAGGAAGCAGGGGAAGTAGAGTTTTGCTAGAAAGATTCACAAATTCTATTTATTTTGCAGTTTCAGTGTCAAAGTCTCTTAGCAATTTAAAAGGCGAAATGAAATGGGGAAGCATAGTGGACATGACTTTCACTTTTGAGTCATGGAATGACAGAGCTTGCAAAAGATGGGGCACTTGCCTGGGCAGAGTCAGCAAGAACAGTTTGTAACTCCTCACCCAGTGAGACTGCTGTTCAGCTAGGATGACCATCTCTCTGGGGGAGAGACACTTGAACCTTCAGGTCCATTAATTCCTGAGAGTAGCAGGAAAGATCCCTTAATCATTTGCAACTCAGTTTTCTGTCAGTGTTGTTCCAGTGAAATAAAGAGACAGTTTGACTCCTCTCAGGGACCTCAAGCACATCTACCACACTGAGCTGATTACTGCAGGTGGTAACTGTGTTCCCGATGTGTGTTCACTGTTGGGAGATGCCAAAATTGCTTCAAGAAAAGAAGATATTTGCCACATGTTCAGGGTTGTGTTTCCTACACACATACTTTGGTAAGAACTGTGCATTAGTGGCTGGTGTGCATGGCCCTGTTTTCCTTGGGAAACTAATTTCTTGGTGTACTTGCTTTCACAAGTGCTTTGGGTTGGTACCAGATGATAGTTTGGTCACAGATTGAAAGGATCTGATGGCTGTGGTTTTGTTGTTGTCCGGTTGCACCCCAAAGGAAGCAGTGAAATAAATGATCCCCCATGAGATGGTGCCAAAGTGTGGGATCAGAGCTTAAGGCTCATTGTAAAATTTTGAGATGGATTCAGGAACACACCGAGCTCCAACAGCATGATCCAGCATGATGCATGATCTGAATTGGGTTTGGCAGTGAGGGCAAGATGTTTAGAAATTACACATTTATGTCTATGCATGAAATTATGTATGAGAACATGTATAGTGAGATGGCTTATTAACATGAAAATGGGCTTCAGTGCCTGCAAATGATTTTAGCCATGTGTAGCTCACTGGCAAAGATCACAAAATTATTATTATAAATAATAATTATTATTTATTATTATCAATAAATATTATTCCAACCTAATTATTATTAGGTTGGAAAAGACCTCCAAGGTCATCTGGTCCAACCAGCCCCCTACCACCAATGTCACCCACTGAACCATGTCCCTAAGCACCATGTTGAGCCTTTCCTTGAACACCCTGAGGGAAGGTGACTCCATCACCTCCCTGGGCAATCTGTTCCAATGCCTGGCTGCTCTTTCTGAGAAGAAATGTCTCCTAATTTCCAACCTGAACTTCCACTGGTATAACTTGAGGCCATTCTCCCTCTAGTCCTATCACAAGTGTGAGAAGAGGCTGACTCCCAGTTCCCCACACCTTCCTTTCAGGCAGTTGTACAGAGCAATAAGGTCTCCCCTGAGCCTTCTCTTCTCCAGACTAAACAACCCCAGTTCCCTCAGCTGCTCCTCACAGGACTTGTTCCAGGCTCTTCACCAGCTCTGTAGCCCTTCTCTTTACATGTTCCAGGGCCTCAATGTCCTTCTTGTAGTGAGGGGCCCAAAGATGTAGCATTAGATGTTTGGAAAAGGTCCTGGCAACTAAATTAGAGCAAACAAATCCTGGCCGAACTGTATATGAAATGGGAAAGCCTGGACAAGAAGTAATTGAGCCAGTCTTCAGCACTGAGAGATAACCTGGCTTGTTTGGCTCATACTTGAGGAGAAAAGTCTCATAGCCTAAACCCACCTGTAGAAGGCACAGGCCACATCTGCAGCCCAGCACTGGGACGTGCCCTTCTCATGTGACCCAGCAGAGATCAAGTCAACTCACGTAACATGCCAGATCCATCTTTTTTGTTGTCTCATGCTTTCATTGGAGAAGTCAAAGTTGCCATCAATGCTGTTGGAGAAACACCAGCAGTCCATGATAGGATGGATGGTCCTTTCTTCCTACTTTAACCAGTTTTCAGAAGGACTGGCAGTGATGATGGTCACAGGATGGTCTCCCTGCACAAGAAGGCAGGGGATGATGTGGAGCTGGAAACACTGGGAGCACCTGGCTCTACGGAGTCCTTCCAAGGAGAGTGTGGTCTGAGGTGACACACAGTGAACAAGGTCTTTACCTGAACGTGATGGTAAGGGGGAGTGTGGTGGCCAGTCTAGGAGGCACTGTGAGGTATGGAAATTCAAATAGGTGCTGCAGCCTCTGGGACAGATTTTGCTGGGCTGTTTTCTGGATAATAGGTGTTATAACAGATGTACCAGTAGCTTCAGTGTAATTATCTGTGTTGTAAGCATAGACTCCTTAAGCTCAAGGTCAGGGAAACTTGTGCTGCAGTTAGCCTATGTTTACGACAATGGCTAAATGCACATAAAAGTTAAACTGTGTAACTAAGATCCATTGTAATTGAATCCATCAAATGTTTACTTGATCCTGCTTAGTCCAGTTACCATTTCATTTGCTACTACATGCTCTCCAGACTAAGCTAGAATTATAGCTCTGTAATTTAGGGACCAGCTTTTACACCTGAATGCCTAAAAATATTGAAATTGTGATTATAAACCCAATTTATATGGATTGACTTTGCACCTTCACTACAGACAATGAAGAAACAGAAAATAAAGAACATGAGAAAAAAACTATTAGGAGAGATGTTTGCCTTCCAGCTGGTCTACATTCTTGTAAAAGCAATAATTTGCGTCAAAGTAATCTAAACAGAGCAATCAGCAAAGGAAATTAAAACTGTCGTTCTCTGACATAGAATACCACTTGATGAGAATGCAGAACATCTGTAAGCTAAATCATCCACCTAATATTTCATCTTCATGCTGTCCTTTTTACAGACCTCACAATAGTGTTACTAGCCTATGGCTCTTCTCTGGCAATTAAATGGTTAGCACTGGTAAATTGTGTTCTGTGGTAATTGTGTAAATTTATATGTAAAAAAATATATATTTTTTCATATTCTCTTGAAAAACAAACAGGATAAGCTGTAACTGGTAACTGCTTTTGGAATGTGAATTACTTTTAAAGTCTTCTGAGAAAAGAAAACAAAGCTTCAGGCCTCAGTCCTAGAAAAGCAAAAAGAACCCAAAGAAATAAACTCATTTGCACTTTACATGAGTATTTTTAGACAACATGTTTTGCTTATCATTCTTACCATTTTATTTAAAAATGTAAGGTTATACATATGTTAAAAAGGAAATTAAAAAAAAAAAATCCTCCAAACAATTCAATCAACACATGCACTCATTTTGGCCTGGCTGCTTACATAGTTCTAGAAAAGAATAACTTGGCATGTGAAGAAGTTAAAATATTCCCATTTTAATACTCTTTATCTATCCATTTTAGCTTTGATTTCAGGCAAGTTTACATGAATTGTTTCCTAGACTCTCTTAGAGTTGCTAAAATGTTTTCCTCCACCTCTCGCTCTGCAAAAATGACCAACTTCATGCTCGGACTTGAATGGATCTTACCTTGACTAACATCTTCATCACATTCTCCGACTTAACACAGAAGCTGAAGTGCAAGTTAGTCGAGGAAATGTTCTCTTTACTACTGCTCCAAAATGTAAAGAAAAATACCCTCCCCACCCCTTGTGACAAAATGGCAGTGGAAGTGCAGGCTGCTGGACCAGCCAGGCTGCTGCCAAAAGGGATGCCCAGAGATGGGAAGAATGAGAAGATCCTCACATCTCTTCTCCCCACTCTATTTGGGCTTCCTCAGACAAACCTTGCCAACTTTATACCCTTCTTATTGGTCCCTGAAAAAAATTAACTCAGTCAGCTAAGCCCATTTTGTTCTCTGCTGTGGGTGGGTTTGTAGTATGAATCCTATCAGGAGGATACAATGCCAGTATTGTCAGGTGTACAGACCTTTCAGTGATAAGCAATTCCAGAAAGCAAGAGGCTAAATGCATATTAAATATTTTTTTTCTTTCTATACTTGATTTGCTGGGTTTGAGCGTCTGGGTAATATTTATCTGTTTTTCTAAGTCTATCATCACAAGGGATGAAAATTTCATTATTATTATTATTATTATTATTAATACAATTATTACCATTATTACTATTAACATCAAAAGTGCACCTGAAACACTCTGAGGATATTATGGCTCTAATAGTGGCATCAATAACACTTAATAAAGTACTGGGAGGTCATGAGGTTCTGAAGTGGGTGAGACTGAAAAGAAATGCTTGCCCTCAGCTTGCTTGTAGTCATTCATCCTGAAGATAAATTGCCTAAGCAGGAAAACAGAGATTTGCTAAATTATTTCAGTATAAAATGTGTGGGGAAAATTACTGGCACAGTATAGTTAAATACCCTATCAAGCAAGCATAAGGACTTCAAGCCACCCTTCAGCTGCATAAACATCTTGGCCAGTGTTAGTCCAGTATATCTGGGTTTTTGGTCCATAACATTTTAAATGTTTATTTTCTCTTTCTGCTATTCGTGGTGCTAATACACAGTAAGGATTAATGAGAATTATGAGAATTATCTTCAAGAATTGAAAACGCCTCAAGAAAAGTATAATTCTGTTTCTTGGCTGCATTCAGCCTTCTATTGTGTGAGGGAGCCTAGGATTCTCCATTTTGGTAACATTACTGCTGTGTTCAGGTATTAGCAAATGAGAAGGAAGAGATGTTCAGAGGCATAAATAACAGTGATAGGTCCATTTCCCATGCGCGTTAAAGCTGCTTTTACCTTCTCCTTTAAATAACAAGCAGTTTAAATGAAATCCATCTCCAAAACCAAATTTTTCCTATTTCAGATTTTAGAAATCTTATAGAGATGTCTCATGCTTTAGTTTTCCTAAGTAAAATTCTTTTAATAATTGTATGGATTACAGGAGAAACACAATTTATTTGCCTTTCTACAATTTGTAATGTTTTCTAAACTGTCGCTAATGTCTTCACATTAAGCACAAGTCTTAATAAGTTCAGCTCCCTGTCACTCTCTTAGAGCCCTGCAGCCTCTGAGAGGGTTTGTCAGTCTTTTATTCCATCCTGGCACATTGTTCAGAGTGCCACAAGCAGAAAGTGCTCTTGACTGAGACACAGAATGATTCCCCAATACTGGTCACCAGAAGCTCAAAGGTGAAAACAGATGCAAATAAATCCAATGTTAACATTCCTAGAGTATGGTATTCTTACATGTTTATCATAACCCTCAGGTAACCTGCACTGAGTGCCAATAATTGTAATTAAGTCATCAAATAGTTATTAAAAAATGTAGAACTACCATGCAAGACAGGGTGGAGAGGCAAACTTTTTAGTACATGTATGACCTGAACTGTTTTACAGGGGCTCTTGCAGCTTTATTATTATTATTATTATTATTATTATTATTATTATTATTATATATTTTTTTTTTCCCCAGGTAGGTTGTACTTAAGTAATTAAAAATCTAGTGGTTACCCAGAAGATTGCCAAAGGAGACTCCAAGCAGAATGCATTCTCCAGAGCAGTAGTGTGTACATGTAGTCTCCATAGCTAAGCTTGGACATCCTCCAGAAATTCAAAGTGATGCACATGAAGATTTTTAGGCAGAGAGGCTTTTCTGACATTCACATAAGAGTAGAGGAAATGTTTCACCTTCAATGTCATGTTCTTCACTCCCTTAACACAGCTGCTGACATGCTCCTTTCAGCACTGTGCTTCTTCTAACAGTTCTTAATTACGCTAGGGGAGGGAGGGGGACAGTTGGTGCTGTTCATGAACAGCCACTTGCATCAGTGAGCCTGTGGTGATATACTGCCTTGAGTGACAGAGAGGAACTACACAGGGGTATGAATTTCCAAATTTTTAAACTACCTAGCTAACAAAAGTCTCTGTAGAGTTGATCAATTTCTTAACGTATTCTTGGTATTTCCTTGCAGTTCATTGATGTTTTGGGGAGCAATGTTGAACCTTTGACCAAAACAAAGGAATGACACTGTGACTGAGTGAGCTAACTGGTAAATAGTCTTGTAAGCCTTTTCTCTGATTGAACTTTGATGTGCATTTAACAGAAGTCTCCCCAACAAATGCGGTGAGACACAGATTTCATCCACAACAGTTTCCAGATCTGGTTTGTGCTTGCGCTGCTGATGGAGAGGAGGCAAAAGAGGGAAACAAGATGAACAGGGTTGGGGTTAAACAGTGAAGGGTTGGAGGGACTGTTATTTATTAAATTTTTATTCATTTATTTATTTATTTTTGTGTAGACCTTCCTTAACACCTGAAGCTACAGCCTCTGTTTTAGCTAGTGCTGGAGGGAGGGCTACTTTTCAGAGGGGACTGTGAAGAGAAGATACAGTTTTGAGCCAGCTATCCCCAGCAGACTCACCAGTCAGGTCATGGTGGTCCTTGGGTGACCTCTGGCAGCCTGGCTTAGAAACTGGACAGAGACCAGGTCCTGAGCCTGGAGCCTGACATCTGCAAGGATGCAGTCACGCCTGAGGATTACATAGCTGAATTTAACTCACTCCTATAATTCCAGTGGTAAGACTGGTGAGAAGTCTCTGCTCCTGACGCTTCCCACAGACTGTTTCTTGGCTGATCCTCTGGCAATGTCCCAAAACCAACAGTGTATTCTAACACGTCGGCAGGGTTTGTCAGCAGAAATTTAGGGAAAAAAAATAACCACCAGTGTTGCTCATTTTAATCTTTCAGAAGATTTCAGAGTGCTGAGCAATGAGGCTTAAAGTGTTAGACGAGGAGCAATAAGGAAAGAGTGATTATTAACCACGTCTGATGAGAATAACATTGCAGATCCTGTCCTGAGTTTCGTGGATTTGTAGTAAGCCCCTGGCCTCATGGTTTTGCATATCGTACTATTTCAAAATTCATGAGACCATTATTTTTCCTTCACTAAGCCCTATTTTTCATGGTGTCTACCACATAAACCACCCAGAAACAGCTCATAATTTACCAGGTCTCTGTGTTGACTAGGTCATGTAACCACACCTGCCTTCACTGCTACCCTCACTTTTCCTGTCTCTGCATTTGGCTTCTGCCTTTTTGCTGTATCTCAGATCATAAAATCTGTGGGGGAAAGTCAACTTCCATGTGAGTTATACACTGCTATTTGCCATGAGATTTACTTCTGGATGGGGTTTGCACACTATCCTTTAATATCAGGGGAAAGAAAAGCACTATATAGACCTATCTGAAGGATTTAGGGACAATTAACACTTCCTAAAAGGTGAGCAGGACAGCCTGAAAGTCTGAAAATCTCCTTTATTTGCTCAGACAGCACTACAAACTGTTCAGAGAGACAGGACCATGGGCAGTAAGGATCTGGAAAGCAAAGAAGTCTCCCGTGTGTAGAGCCTGTACTGAGACTTTTATACAATAAAGCAGGAGACTAAGCAAAAAAAGACCTAGCAGTAGTGCTGTAAGGGTGTATAATTCATATTCTGAGTTAAAACTGTGTAAGCAACCTCAAGTAACCTGGTTAAGAGCCATTAACAAAGATGCTTTGAGAGGTACCACATGTGGGTCTACAGTGTTGCCTAAGTAAACCAGACAGGAGAGAGCAATTGGACTTGGTCCTACCCTCTCAATGTCTTTCTTGGGGATGAGACTTATTCCTGTCTTCTTTTGACCCCATGAGATGAAAGATAAGTTTTGTGCCCATCTTGGAGACATAATTCCTTGCTCCAGTGTTCTTGTGGTGGTTCTCAGAAAAGCCAATGTTTGATTTACTAGAAGGTATACTATCTTTTCAGAGGGGTCTTCCCCTAAAAACACCAGAGGGTAGGGCTGTGATGAGACAAGGCTCTCTTCATCACATTTATTTTTCCTGTGGAAAAGCAGAGGATCCAGGTCTGTGTCATTCTAGATTTATACCAGTGTGTATGCCCGAGGGCTCCTCTGTTGTTGACCATCCTGTTTTGCTGGGACCACACCACAGGAGATGCTGTAGAAGATCAGCTCCAAAAACCACCTAATGAAAAGGCAAATAATGTCATCCAGTACTTTTATTTGTACCGTGCAGTCTGAATCCATGCTGACTACACAACACAGGATGAGCTCTCTCTTTACCTGTGTAAACCACTGCCTTGTTCCAAGGTGCACACATTATTAAATGAAGACCAAAGGGTTGGGTGAAGGGTGAGGGCAGCAGCCCAAGTTCCAACTTTCCCTGACTCACTGCTGCATCCTGGCCACGTTCTCATGTGGCTTCTAAGCAAGTAACTTTTTCTGCTGACTCACAGTCTTACAAAGTGTTTTTACCTCATGACTGATCCTTTATTTATTTATTTATTAATCCAGAAACAAAAAACAGCAAACTCACTTCTGATTTCTGCTCTCTTCTGCCCTGGGGAAAGTTGCTGGGTCATAGAAAATGTGGATTCTGCTCTGCTTTATATCACTTCCTGCTTTTTCTTATTTTCCTTTCATACCCAGTGTTATCTCTGGGATATGGAAACCTCCACAGCTGCCCTGGGGAACCTCCAGCTGTCTCACTTACTCTCTGTCCTGTTAACCACGCGTTACCCTGCTAGAGGACAGCTGTCAGGGCCTTTCGGGGATTTCATTCAGCACAAACTGCTGCAGTAAAAAGGCGCTTGTAATATTCCTGCTGCCTTTGCTGCTCTTACTGTAAGTTGCAACAGCTTTCACAGCCTGTTTCCACACACGGTCACATGGTAAATCCCTGTTGACATCAGTGGATAAGCTTTCCAGAGCCTGCAGCCTGGCTCCAGCAGAGCCAGTGCAGAAACCCAGGACCTGAGCTGGGTTTTCTTGACCCAGTGTTAGGGAACTCCTGGGATTTGTAGCATCTCTGGGGCAACCCCACTTCATCTGCAGAATGAAGCCTCTGAGCTTTGCAGCTTGCTGCAGGAGGCACTGTGCAAGAGGGATGTATTTTTGGCTGAATCAATCAGTATGCACTGAGGCAGGTTGGCATCATAAACAAACCTTGAGGCTCAAATCCCACATATAATAATCCAAGTGCCCACGTTGGGCAGTGATTTATTTTTCTATTTATCACTGTGTTTCAAAGAGAAAAGATGTTTTTACATCTGAAATTTTGTGGAAAGCCTCTCTCTCTAAACCCATGAGATTTCTCACAGTAAGATAGTGTAACTAATGCCACGGCATTAGTTACATCAGCCACCTGACGGTGCCACAGCTTGGCCAAGTGTTTAAGTCTAGAAGTCTGTGTACTGTGGAAGGTGTTGTCACTGTCTACACTGGAGGGGTAAGGAAAAGTTATTTTCAGTGTTAGGCTTGTGGCTACATCTTGATTAAAATTAAAAAAAAAAAAAAAAGCAAAACAATACAAGTACAAACCACACTGCTATTGAAAAACAGGAGTTCATATACATGCTGAGGAGCCATCAAAGTTTAGCTGCACTTGAAACACAATCCCTGATTTCCTCTGTACAAAGCCTGGTGTCACAACTGCCTTTTGTCATCTTTACTTCAGCCCCCTCCTCCCAGCTCTCTGCCCAGCTGGCCAGTCCTGACACAGCCCACAGCTGTCATAACACTTATGCACACAGAATATTCAGAAGGATGGGTGTCTTGATGTGAGCCAAACCTACTGTATGTGAGGTTGAGAGTAAAGCTGGCTGGTCAGGAAGGTGGGGGGAGTGTGAATGGAATTTGGAAATTATTGTTGTGTAATTTCCAAATACCCTAAACACGGACAGAAGAAGGAACTGAGTTGATTTTTGGATTTATTTATTTATTTTTTTTTTCGGTTTAGACCACACTTGCCAAACATTGGACATCAGAAGCAATAACTTCAAAGCAGTGCACTAAGGTAAGATGTCACTGGAAGAGGCGTGCAGAATGAGCAGAAGTTCTCTGGGTAGTGTAGCATTGCACTAAGATGTGTGTCCACTGCAAGTGCTCCTTGTGGAGCCCTGCACAAAGCACTGCTGTTTTCGCATCCTGTTATGTTTCAGAAAGCCTCTCTCAGTCTCCCTGAAAGAGACTGAAGTGGTTTCACTCTCATTGCTTTGCAGATGCCAATGGTTTGCTTGGTTTCAATGGAAAAAGGGAAGAGCAAACACCATCCATTGACCAGAAATCAAATGTACCTGCTAAGAGAGAAAAGAAGAAGCTGCAAGTCTTTCTTGCTGAAGTAAGTTGACCTTATTTCCTGGGAAGCCTGTGAGGAGAAAAAAAGGAATGTTAACCGCCTTATCTCTCTTCCCAATTTCCTAAGCCCTATTATCTGATTTGCACAGTCTCAAGATGACTCACTCATCTGAAGCTTGGTGTTCGGCGCCTCTTGAGAGCCATGGTTGGTCAGTATAGCATAAGTGTGCTAAAGGAGAAATGCAAGAGGAAATGGTTGTGATTTCTCGAGAGCGAGAGCTGGAGCTGTTGTTCAAAGCTTTCCAAGATTGTGCAGGGTCCTCTCCTGCTTCCTTTTTCTATGAAAGAAACTGTGATGAGCTGCACTGCATCCTGAGCATGAAGAAGTGGTGATCCCTGGCTGACTCAGTGGCTGCTAGCAGTAGCAATATCACTGTAATTAATCAGTCAGTCAGTCCCCAGTAGATTACCTACAGTCATTCTCTTTGTTGTGCAGGCAGGGAATTGAAGGTGCAGGGAAGCTGCTTTGTCCAAAGACATAAGGAATGAATGTCAAAGCCCCCAGGAAAATCCTTGAGGCCAAATGCTATTTTCAAAAGTACACATTACAAGTTATTTACATCTTAGAAATTATTTAACTGATGTTTCACACTCATCTTTACTGATTTTTCAAGCTATGTGACAATTTTAATTTTGATTGTCTAATGTTCAAATTAGAGGTAAGAAAACCCGAAGGCCTGGAGGTTAATCATAAAGTGCAATGAACCTGAACCCAAGGGTAACTTGCTGCCTGTTTTCTACAAATGGTGTTTCAATGACTAGAGTTTCTTAAAGAAATAAACATACTATGATGTTTCATCTGCTGGATTAATAAGTAGATTTTGCCCTGGTAGCACAGACTAAGAGGGACCCCAGCTAGCTCTAATCAGAGGAAAATCAGAGCACATTGCCACTACATAACAGATTTTTCTCAGCATCACCAAAAGCTGGACTCATTACAACTGTCTTGTTACAAAACCACTCTTCTTAATATCCACTCTATTACAATTGAGTGACAGGTGTTTGGAGTTTAAACACATTCATTTGGACTGTAATAAGCCTTTTGTCACAGAACTAAATTGTTATCCTCTATTCTTCCAACTCCAGAATTTGTTACAAGCCACACTTCCTGCCTACAACTTTTGAAAGATCCTGAGCTTTGTGAATTTTCTCTGTTAGCATAGACTCTATCTCAAACAAATGGAATTTTAATATTTATTGTTTGCAGGTCTGATGGGCTAGAGCAGAAGTTTCTCTCTGAAAGATATTATAGGGAGCTACAGTTGGAAGATATTTAAGCTATACTGCAGCCTGCAAGTACCATGTGTATTTCTCCCTACAGCTGTATTTTCAGAAGCCTGTCAGCACAGACACCAACTAAAACTGGACAGGACCCTAAAACAGTCTTTTTTTTTTTTTTTTTTAAGAAGGTGCAATATAGATATTTCCTATGAGTGTGGCTGATGGCTTCATCTCTGTATCACTTCTTCACTTCTCCCTGCCTGCGTACTACATTAGGTAACCATGTTTTTTCAGACTGGTTTTGGAGCTTTGGGACTTTCAAAAGGAAAGTTGTCCTGTTTCTTCATATTTTCCATGAAGCCAGGAATGCCACGTGTTTACACTGGCTGATCTCATGTCACATTGCTGGTCTTTGCTGCTGAATTCTTAACGTTTCAGTCTTTGCTGCTGAATTCTTAACATTCCTGCCCTAGTGGAAAACTCTCGTTAAGAAAAACCAGGCTTCCCTGTCATGGCCAACAGCAAGAGTTAACTGAAAAATAGTTTCACAAAAGCATGTTCTGGAGTGAGAATGATGGGACCATGTTGGTTCCCTAGCACTGTGTGGTGGTATAAAACTCCCTTAGTTCTCATGTTGGCTTGGTCACACTCAGCCAGGGTTTTGATAGCTCTGCAGGCACCACCAGCAGAAATTTCGGAGCAAAATTGGCCTGGCTTGCTGCCACCTCTTCATCTGTTGATGTTGTTTCTGAATTTCCTTAGAGTCAGTGAGATCACAGCCTCTAAACACTACAGCTTCCCAGCAGTATGCCGGAGGAAAGGACCCAGTCACTAATTCTTTTATAATGTTTGGCTTAATATCTGTTGAAATTAAAAACAAATTCTATCTAGCATCATCCCCTCTGAAATAGGATGACCTTTTCCTTCAGCACTCCAGAAGCTGGGTATGCTTGTCACAGCTCCCTGTTTGACATCTGTGGTTGTTTTTTGGTAGTGATGGGGACTGCATTTCGGTGTCCTTACAAGTATCCTGTACATGTATCTCAGGTATTGCTCTTGCTTTTTACTGTTCTGACTCTGAAATAATAGCACAAAATTTAGTGCACAAGATATGGTAACTCTCCCCTGGGATCTAGGTTTTGTGTAGGATTATTATGCCAAAGAACATAATTGGCATCATGGACTTCAGTTTTGAAAACTTTACAGAATCTTTTCTAGTTAATTCCACCCATAAGAAATCATGTTTTCAACAGCTCGCTAAATTATCTTGGAGTCACCCTCTTAGGAAAGACTTTCTCATTCCATTCTTCTGGAAATGGAGCCATCAAATACTTTTCTGGAAATGGTAACCTAGCAGGAGCAGATGTTACTGGTTCTCTGGACTCTCCCTAACTAACAAGTGAGTCTTTTCACTCCTCAGTGTGTTACAGTTTTTCTCTAGATTGAATTACGCTCAGCTATTTCTGATCAGTGTAACTGGCATTGAGACAGCTGGCTGGTTTTGGCATCCAGAAAGCAGGTAAGTACATTGTATGCTGATAGGAAGCAAGTTGCTCCATCAGATAAAGTGGAACAAATTGTGCACTAAGTCAGTACGGGGCCTAGAAGGACTTGTGAGCATTAGTAGAGTCCTCTTCCCACAAAAAGAGTAAAGTCTCAGTTGCAGAGACAAGAAAATGCTGTCTAACAATGCTTGGTGGATACCTTAGTCCCTGCTTGTGTTCACTGTCTTTATTCTAAACTGTTTTATTTATTCTATTATTATTATTATTATTTAATTCTGATTTATTTTTCTTTGCCTTTTTCTTTGCCTTTTTCTTTTTCTTGTGTATCAGAATGAAATTGTAGCAAATAGTCTCTCTTTGACTGCCAAAAGTTATGGGGGTAGTGAATGCTGTGATCTTCTCTGCTTGATGCTTTCCCCTGGGATTCACCACCCTGGGCCATGCTGGCAGCAGAGGCAATATGGGTGTGAATGCACTGGTGCTTTTTTTTGTCTGGCTCATCACAGTATTTTGGCTTCTCATGAATGATTCAGTTGTACTCTGACACTTATTTATTTGTTTGTTTGTTTGTTTATTTTATTATTATCTCTTCTAGTACTCTAAATATTGATGTAACTGTGACATAACGTTGTGTGCTCAGCTACCTGTCGCTCTTGCATGATTCATGTGCTAATGGTGTTCTGGTCATCCTGCACTGGCTGTGTCAGGCTGTGAAGTCAGATGTGAGTTATTTCCCAGAGAACAGTTTAATGTACTTCTAAAAGATCTGCGTGTACTATCTGCGAGCAGCCTGACTCATCCTTTTCTTTGGCAAAAAAAATAATTTCCGTGGCTTTAGAAAACAGACTCTTGAAAAGTATCTTCTCTCTTTAAAATGAGAAAAGGCAACCCCTCAAAAAAAAGTTGTTGGTGAGTGATATTGTTGCTACACTATCCCATGTCTGTGAGATAAAATAGAAAAAAAAAAATCTCTCCTGAGCTGACTGTGGAAAAATAATGAGACTAGAAGAAAGTATATTTGCATCACTGAACACAACAGTAGTCATCTAAAAGCATGCTGCATATATGCATGTTCTGGAAGGGGAATTAGGCACTTTCTGTGAGAAACATGGGGGCTAAGGAGGCTGAAAGTTAACACACTAACCTATGGGCAGGCCAGGAGAGCACCAGACTGACCTCCTTCAGCCTACATAGCACAGGTAAAAATCTGGCAGTTCTTTGTCTTCAAGGTCTTGGGGGTGTGAGGTTATGGGAAGTTGAAGGCAGTGACAAAAGAATTCCACCAGGACCCCATACTAGTGATTTTTGGAGTAAACGTAGTGAGTGAGGTCATTGTCCCATGAAGTAGTTATCTTGTGCATCTTCTGCCAGCATATTCATGGTAACAGATGGTTCAGTATAGAGTGCAAAGCTTTCCTAGGAAAGTGGGGGAGTTAACTGAGTGCTTATCCTAAACTTGGTATTGCCATGACTGGTTTAAAGCTTGGGTGTAGTTAGATACAGTGATCTAAATATAAGGATACTACCTTGCTGGGATTTAATGTCCAACTCTTGTCCTATGCCTTGTGTTAAGAAAAAGCTGCTAGAACATAATAAGCAGTACTGCACACAGCTTTTCCATTGAGCAGGGAAAGGAGAAGAACAGTGAAACATCCTTTTTGTGGGAATTTATATCTGGTCTTCGAACTACCAGTACTTTGCATTCATGGACAAAATAAATGGATATGAAATGCACCAAAAAAAATAAACTGCTATACAGAAAGACTGAAACCAGTCTACTGAAACCAGTATCCATCTTTACACATTGCCTCCACATGTTTAGTTTATACCTCTAGTACAGAGGTGGGCAAATTGTCTTTGCAAGCAGTTTTGTTTCAGTTTCCAACAGAAAAGTATGGGAACCCATGGGAGATGGTGGCAATTTTGGGAGTCACAGGAAGGCTATAGAAGGCTGCAGTAGACAAAGGGCATTAGAGCTCCAGTTTGGGGTAATGGTAAAACACCTGTAAGGTTGTGAGATTCCTAGCTGTACCAGAGTTGTACCTACAAGCACTAGGTAGCCTGTTAGGACCATCTGGAATACAAGGAGTACGAAATGATCTCTGATATAATGCGAAAACAACTATCCTCAAATGAATTACTTGGACTGAAAAATTACTTATGTTTTTGGCAGTGGAAAACTGTTTGGAGAAAAACTCTCCCTCTCTCCCCTCCCCCCAAAAGTTTTATCAGGCTTTCAGAGTATTTTTCATTTCTTAGGAATGGCGTGGGTTTTTTGGATCAATGTAGAATTTTAAAAATAGCAACATGAACTCCTACCACTTTTAAAAAGCTAATCAGTAGTTTTTATGCCAGGATAAATTCTTCTTCTCTAACTTATATGAGGTCCTCTTTGGCTGCTGAGATAACTGCCTAGGAAGTCCTAAGAATAAAGAAAACGTCCTGTTGTATTTAAATAGCAGAACTCTTTGTAGGCCAAAAATTGGTAAAAACATTTTTCTTACTTTAAGATATTTATGTTATTTTTACTCTTTTACCCTGTATAATATTACTTCAAAAGAGGTTTATTTTATTTTATTTTATTTTATTTTATTTTATTTTATTTTATTTTATTTTATTTTATTTTATTTTATTATTATTATTATTATTTTAGAAAGAGTCTTATATAGATATTATTTAAAAATCTGTGAATTCACTGGCTGCTGCAAGATACATATCTCACACTTACTCAGTCTTCAGCAAAGCCCTGCATATACATTCGTGCTTTGTAGTCCACCATTAGGTTCCAAGTTTAATAGACCTCTTATTACTCTTTCTGTTGCAACTCCCACAAAAATCTTATGATGTCTCTAGAATAAGATTCCCCAACTGATATATCATATTTTAAAGGTGAGATGCTGTATATGGGAAATGCAGTCTCCAGCTTATGTTTCAAAAACAGTTTGATGTCCTTCTTAAGTTTTGTATCTCAAAAGCTAGTTTAGACTGATCTTGGGTCTAATCCCTAAAATCTTACTAGCTGTGCCCTGACATAATTAAGGATATGATTTAGGAAGCATCAGAAAGCTGCTT